TATAATTAAGAGTGTCAAAAATGGAACTTTATAATGAAGAGTAATCATAATTACTTCCCATATATATATATATATATATATATATATATATATATATATATATAATAAAGAAATTATATTTATAAATTCATATTTGTAAAAAATGATTAATGCAATCAAACAAATGTAACATGCTTATTTAAATATCTAAAATATTATAAAAAATAAAAAATCATTAATACCCAAATATGTGTTATACTTAAATATTTGGCAAGAATCAATTATGTTCCATTAAACGTTATGATTTTTAATGTTTGTGAATAATTTTTTGATTATAATATTATCACAATATTTTTAAAAGTTTAATATAATTATTGTGGTAATAATAAGTATAAATTGTTGATGGCAGTGTAGTGATCGTAACCAGTTGATTTTCCTAAGTTTACATTCCTCTATATTTCTTGTTATTATTATTAAAATATAATTTAAGAAATAATATAATATTTTCTATAATAGTTAGTTATAAAGAATGTTACAGTAACGATGATACATGTGGTATCGCACTGCTAAAGACTTTTTAACACAGTTAATTATATACTGTGTCTTCATTTAATAACTTAAATTTGTAATAAAATTAATTTTAAACATCTTATGTAATCAGTGGTCTAAAATCCGATCATTGTCATATTGTTCACCTTAACTTTTGTGTGGACATATTATATATACAATATAAAATATTAAACCATTTATATATCTCTTTTACAACTTAAGTTTTTGAAAAAAGTGATTACTTAACACGAATGATAATTAATCTGGAGCTATACTGAATGCTAATCCACAAATTTTTACTACAACAATACTCGTGGACATATATCCCGCGAAAATGTGATTTCGTGACAACAATACATTCTGCTCCTCGTATTATGGCATGAGCAACAGGTTGAGGAGTAATTGATCTTGATTCATTAAACATCATGAAAGGTTCAGTTCTATAAATGGTCCAAAGGCTCAATAGTAAGGAAGAAAACACACAAATAACACATACACGTAATATTAAAACGCACAACTCATCTTGCGCCATTGCACAATCACATGACTCATAAGCCCCTTTTATAGCCAATAGCTAAAGGTTGACAGTAGACACGAAATTCCAATCAAATCTAAACATCATAGCTCATCAAAACATATTGCACCGACGAGATAGGTTGACAAAGTTACCATAATCTACTAATTAAAAACATGTTCTTATACTAAGACTATATAATAAGACAACAAGAGGATCATGCCGCTATTATATATTAGAGACTCAAAATTCAAGTATAATCATCTTCTAAATTACTTGTGCTCATCACTAAAATATTGATTTGAGTGTCAAAGTGTCTTATAGGTATCCATCCAATTTATTCTGGATAAAACACATTTCTTAATTTTTGAAAATATTTCAATTGGTTCATCGTTTCGCGACTAGTCCGATTCGGGACGGATATCGGGATTAAGATTTTAAACCCTTCTCAAAGACGATAATTAAACACATGCTCTTATCTCACCTGCTCAGTTTCCTAATGTCAACTAAACTATCATTATTTGATGGATAAAACACGCTTTAATGGCATCAAGATCATCATCCATTGATATCATCCCACGTGGCAGTACAGCCTATCCTGTTACAATAACCGGAAGAGTCACTAATTTGGATAAAACTCAATGGTGTGTGATTAGCCCCAACACCATATTGATTATAATATTAATATTGAAGAAACATTTGATAATTTACGTTGAATACTATATTGATTAGGAACCATCACCATTTCCTATTATTGTTTGCGGGAAACAATACGTAGGTTATTGACTCGGAGTCGAGAAAAGCTCGGTTTTTAATTTAAATTAATTGTTTTTGTGAGCGTGAACTTTGAAAAGTATGCCAAACATAAATTTAAAATTCAATAACATATCTCAATTCAAAATGTCGAACTTTGATTAGAATTTGTAAAATTTGAAAACTCATAGGAGAACAAAGAAAGTAGGTGCATGAAAAGTATTTTACTCCAAATAATTTATTCCTTGTTGTGAAAAGAAAAGAAAATATTATTACATGTATTGTTTACATTGACTCACAAATCTAGATTTTTTACGTAAATTATGTGCAAATATTCTCATAAATTCTTTGTCATGGATTTTAATTTTAATTTTCATAAATTCCACTATTAATTCAGTTGACCGTCGTGTCATTTGATTGCCAGTAGATAATTGAAGTCAAACATATGAAATAACATATTCATAATGTTCAAATTTCATAAAACTAATCATTTTCTATTCTTTCACGAGAAAAATATTTCTTTCCATTAATAAAAAATATCACAGTGCTAAATTACACAACAGACAATTTTAATTTAATAGGTGGATAATATCACAATTATAAATTCCCATTAAATAAAGAAAAATAAAATGAAAATTCCATTTAAGTTAATAATAATCTATCGTATATTCGGCGCCGTAATTTCGCGTTCATTATTAATTATGAGTATCTCAAAAATTTGATACGGCAAATTAAGTTAAACATTGCATCTGGCATTGCCGAATTTTTCAAAAGCTGGAATGACAATGAAGCGGCTTTTAATTTTAGACTTACCATAATTTTAAACTTATCATTCTTATCATCTATTTGTTTATTATTAGATTAATTCGAAATCAGTAATAACAACTATTATTAATTTTTTTATCCATTAATTTCAAATACGTTATATATATATATATATATATATATATATATATATATAAAAGAGCAAGGTTATAGTTACAACTTTTTTTCTTACAACCTCTTACAATCATATCTTATCACCGTAGATTTCTGTCAATCAACGGTTATCATTTTAGCAAATTAAACTCATTAATTAATTATTAATTCACATTAAATGATAACCGTTGATTGACGAAAATCAACGGTGATAAGATATGGTTGTAAGAGGTTGTAAAAAAAAAGGTTGTAAGTATAACTAATAAATTATAACTATTAGAATCATTAGTTGGATTATATTTAACCGTTAATTTTCACTACCAACTCAACTGTTGACAAAAAACTGTTCTAATAAATTGTAAGTATAACTAAAAAAAGGTTGTAACTATAACTAATAAATTAAAAAAGGTTGAATCATTAATTAGTATACTTACTTTTACTACTAACTCAACTGTTGATTTTTGTCAATTTAACCATTCTAATTTATTGAATTATATTTATTAATTAATCACTAAATTCTAATAAATTATAACTATTAGAATCATTAGATTAGTGTAAGTCAATAGTTAGCAGTAAGAAATAGTAAGAAAAAAAAAAGTACTAAGTATAAGGGGCGATTATACTTACTACTAAAAAGTTTTACAACTATTACTACTAAATTAATCACCGTTGATTTCTGTATTCTAACAATTATAATTGTATATATAAACTAAGAGGTTTGTATTCATGTGACCACAAAAAAATTTCCTACACACACAACATTTTGTAGGACCTGCATGTTTTGAAGAAGAAAAAAAAAAAACTACGGCACGCAAAAAGAATCTCTATAACATAACACAATCATTTTTTCTACGACATAACTCTTATAAAACCCATAAACTAACTTCCCACAAATCCAAAAGTTTTAACCTTAAATTACAAGATTGGTCTTACATAAACTAAGTACCCACTAATCCAAAAGTTTTAACCTTAACTACAAGATTGGTCTTAAGTGGAGACATTGGTGGAAATAGCAAAATGGGAAGTGGAAATAGCGTTTCGGAAGAGTTGCAAGTTTTGAAGTTTGAACTGTGGCTCTATCCCGCTCACTCACGCTCCTCCTTCTCCCCTTATAACAGCCACTCTATTTCCTCTCTTTTTCGGACCACACTCTCTCTCTCTTCTAGACCTTGCCATTGCAAAGGTAAACTTAGCTCACTCTCTCTCTCTCTCTCTTTCTTTTATTTTTTATTTTCTTTCTGGAACTTTACTTTGTTGTCCTCTGATGTTGAATGCGTTAATTTTATGTTTTGCTTTGGTTTGTGTTGGTGTATAGATCTGGAATTGAGCTGCATTACTTTGTATCTAGATAAATTGTGCTCGTTTTTTTTCTTTTATGCTTCAAGCAACGAGAGTCTAAGGACATGGGATTTCATGCGGATTTTGTGAATTCTTTTTTTTTTCTCTCGTTGAATTTAGAGTGTACGCAGAATAAAATGAAAATGCTTGGTCGTTGTTCGTGAGAATTTTGAATGTGTTCGGATTGGAGCGTGAATAACTTACTTTTCTTAAAATCATGGTTGTAAAAATGATTTTTCGAGCATTGATTTCATACATTTTGTTTGCGAGCTTTCACTTTTGACTAAGCATGGGAAATTAAACAATTCATTTTATTTTCTGTTTTCAATGATTTGCTTAATGTCTGATATATCTTGATAAATCAAATTCAAGACAGAAAAAAAAAATAATGGTATCTGTTATCAGCCATTGATGTTATCCCTTGCTAAAGAGCATTGGTTCACCACTAATAAGTAACCATGATAGTTATCACCCTACAAGTTGTCAGATACAGGTCGGAGTATATGCGAGTCCAAAACATAAATTTTTAAATTGAAGATGATTTCAAGATATATTTAAATTGGACTTGTTGATGTGATACAATTAGCTTTCATTTTTAAGCTTTTCATTAGGTATAATTGTATGGAGATCGGGGATGCCCGAGCTGTTCCTACAAGTAAATATCAAGAACAGGATGTTTGAAGAGTACCTTAATCTGTGCGATTGATACATTAGATAGACAGAGGAAAGATTTAAAAAGATGAAGCCCATTGTTGAACATAACATATATGATATATCATGCCATTCTTCTTTTACTGCAGCGTCAAGGCTTTGTTTTGTTGGTTTGTTTGCATCTCAGGCACTGTTATTATTATTGCTGTTATCTTACGGAAATTTGGTCTTTGAAGAACAGGTATGATCAAGATTTTCATTTAAAGCAATTGGGTTGCTCTTCTTCGAGGCACGCACAATGAATAAAGTAAATACAGTTTGTGCCAAAGACGAAGAGCGTCCACTCCGAATCACTAGAGCAAGGGCTAGAGCCTTGGGAGGGATTCCCCCCTACTCAAGACCACCGTCCTTTAAAAATGAACAAAAAAACGCACTTCGAGTAAATCCAAAAAGGGCAGCTTCCGAGAACAAAAATTCTGAGGTTGTTCCTGCTATTCTTCAGCCTAAGAAAAGGGCAGTGTTCACAGATGTAACAAACATCTGCGCAAAATCACATGATAAGTCTATTAAAGCATCAAAAGTTCTGGTAAGCATGAAACACTCACTTTGTCATCAAATGCAGATTTCAAACTGTCAATATTTTATAATTCTAGTAATAAGGGAAGTAAACTTTTGTTTCCGTGATTTATTCTCATTTTAAAATGCAAAAACATCTGATTCATTGTCATTTATTTCCTCACGATAAATGATTTTCATAATTTATCTAAGCTGCAAATTCGTCTGCATATAACTATCCATTACGTAGGCAAGAGGAGTTAATAAGAAGAAAAAAACAAAGCTAGCTTCAGGTGTCTCCATTGAAGTTTCGTCATCAAAAGAGGATCTTAAAGCAAAGTTAGCTGAAGAATTATTCACCGTAAGGACGGTAGAATCAAATGATGCAGTTGCTGCAGCAACTTTGGAGGATGAAGAGCCAGCAGGACATTGTATGTCCAATAGCACAAGAGAACATGTTACAGCAGACACCAAGCTTTCAATGGAAAACTCCGAAAAATCTGATGAACACTTGAGCTCTCCAAGCAAAGGTTTTTCAAATAATCTCATATGTCACTACTAGTATGCAACAGACTTTAGGTATATAACACGTCATACTAAATTACTAATTGTACAGATGAAATTTATGCAACTCTATGGTTGAACATACAAAGCACGAAATGCTACTGGACATAGAAGTTATTGAGCTTCTTACCTGACGAACAAAAATATGTTTTGTTGCTTATATATTTCTTAATTAATTGAACCGTATTTCTTATAATTATTAGTTGGTGACTGCAAATTCTATTATTATTATAGAGGGAACTTTCAAGTTCATGGAGTTACAATGTTATATGATTGCCCTTTTGATAACACATAAAAAGAAGTTACTAGATGCCGCAAGTTCACTAGAAAGATAATATCTTAGAAGTTAGCATCCCGTAATTACTGTTTTGTTGTCTTGATTGGATTGTGCGGAAATAGATATGGCTTGTGAGAAGCTAGGAGCCTCAGATTGCAAGGCCATTGTGGACATTGACTCAGAGTTAAAGGATCCTCAAGTTTGGAGTTCTTATGCCCCTGATATATACAACAATATTCGGGTCACAGAGGTTTGTGATGTAGTAATGTGCTTTTTTTTTTCCCGAGAGTTGCTACTATTGTATTTGTTTATGTGACTGGTGACAATTTCAGTTGCTTCTGTTAAACAATGTTATGAGGTAAACCTCAACTGCTTCTGCTATGTCTGCTATTGTCCCGGTTTGACTACATTATAAAATTATAATAAGATTCTTTCAGTGTATAGCATCCGCTGTAGTGTAATCAAGTATTCTTGGATAGCAGAGAGATTTTGTTTAGTAACAATATAATATGATTATAATACCAATATTGCTGCATAAAAAAACTTTACAAAGTAATACTATTTTAGTGCTAAGTAAAGAGAAGCATAGTTAGGTTCACTAAAAAAAGTTGATGGTAAGTTTTGGTGAAATCTCTCCAGCTTGATAGGAGACCATTAACCAACTACATGGATAAGTTGCAGCAAGATACTACTCCAAGCATGCGCGGAATTCTGATTGATTGGCTTGTGGAGGTTAGTCTGGACTGGCATTATGTACATTTCTATACCTGAGGACATTTTAGCTTTTCCTTTTCGTCGCTATAATCTTTTCATTGAATTCTCATCTACTGCCTTTGAATCGAAACGTAGTTGAATCATTGAATGATAGGATACTGACAATGAGCTGAATATGTATAGCTCATTATCAGGTTCCTGCTATAGTCATGTTTGAAATGCACAATCTCAAATTACTGCTTATTGAGTTGGCCATCAAGTTTTGGTTGTGGGTTTGCTGAAGGTTTCCTGTATCCTCTTTCAGGTTTCTGAGGAATATAAGTTGGTTCCAAACACTCTTTACCTGACAGTGAACCTCATTGATCGGTTTCTCTCAACAAGTTTGATTCAGAAACAAAGGCTCCAGTTGCTTGGTGTTACTTGCATGCTGATTGCATCGTAAGTACCATACTTTGTAACGGTCCTGATTAAGATGCAAATTCCCCAAGCTCAAAGACTTCTTGATGCTTCTCTTTGAACTCTGAACTAGGGAGGGCATCAATGCTTTCAAAATAATAGTTGATAATGACAATCGGTTTATCATCCTCTGTCTAGTATGGTGATGATTGTTATTATTTTTCATTGTCCCTTATATATTTATTTTAAGGGCTTTATTAATCTCATGCAATAGGAGAGAACTCTCTTATACAATAGAGATAATCATGTGTGGGATCCACCCACTATAGAAAAAGAATAAAAGAATAAAAGAATAAAAAAGTAACACGGAAATCGATGTATGTGTAGGAGAGAATTTTTCTCTCCTACAACATAAGAGTATATTTTCCCTTATTTTAATCGTTGTTCTTTTTGTTTTGAATGATACAATGGTGGCACTAAGATTCGAACTTATGACTTCATGCAAACCACCCAATCCCCTCACTACTAAACCAATCCCAATGGCTTTTTACTTGTTCTTGGAGTTGTATGGGTTGATAATTTTACATATTTTTCATAATATAATTTTGTTCTCATTATTTTCTTTATATTTTTACAAGCCTTTGAGCAGTGGTAAAATTGCTCATTTGTGATCGAAAGGTCATGGATTTGAATTTAAAAAATAGTCTCTTTGTAAAACTGTAAGAGTAAAATTGTGTATAATTTGACCCTCTCCCCTAGCTTTATAAAGTTGGGGAACCTTGTGCGATGGAATTTGTCCTTTTGTACTCTATCTTGTTTTGTAACAAGCTAGTAATGAAACTTTCTTTGGACATTAATAAATCTATAATAAACTTCTAATTTTATTCACGAAAACCTTGATCTTTGATGCATTTGGGGATGCTGATAAGTGACAATGTAAAATATCATATCTATTTTTTTCTATATCATTCGGTCTAAGACGTTTCTTTTCTTTCATGTCTTTAAGAAAGTACGAAGAGATTTGTGCTCCTCAAGTGGAGGAATTTTGCTTCATCACAGATAATACATACACAAAAGAAGAGGTATAGTATTTGGTTGTATAGCTTTTTTCAAGTAGTATTCATGATGACTGATGTATAAAATACCTAATCAGTGCATTTGACAGGTATTGAAAATGGAACGTGAAGTACTAAACCTTTTGCGTTTTCAATTATCTGTTCCCACAACCAAAACATTTCTCAGGTATGTACTACATATTTATATCCACGTTTTGTTGGGAAATGCCACTTAGTTAAAACTTCATTGAACTATGACGACCTTCACCTTATCTTGGCCTTCAGGAGATTCATCCAAGCAGCACAATGTTCTTACAAGGTACTATAGTTGTTATCCACAATTTAACTTCAGAAGGGATTCTATTATGCTGAGAGGAACAATGCAAATCAATTTGGTCAACTTTATCCTTTTATACAGGTTCCTCGTGTTGAACTGGAATTCCTGGCAAATTATTTAGCGGAGCTTACTCTTGTTGAATACAGATTCTTGCAGTTTCTACCTTCTCTTATAGCTGCATCTGCTCTATTCCTTGCCAGATGGACCCTCAACCAGTCAGAACATCCATGGGTATGAACTGTTTACTACCTAATTTCAAGTTGACTATTCACCCCTGTTTAGACGTAAATAAATTTAAAAAAGTCACGTGTATTTATTTGCAGAATCCAACTCTGGAGCACTATACAAACTACAAAGCTTCAGAGCTCAAAACTGTTGTTTTAGCGCTGAAAGATCTGCAACTTAATACCAAAGGGTGTCCCCTGAATGCTATACGTGAGAAATATAAACAAGAGAAGGTTAGAAATGGGCACATAATATTACGAGCTCTTATTCTTTTTTCAGTTTGACTAAGTTTTTAACTCCTCTAGTCACACACCAGAATCACTATATATCACTAAACATACATAATATTATTATACGCTTCAGAAGAACGTTTTTTCCGGGGCCCCTTTTTGTAAATATAAAACGTGTCCAATTTGGAATATTTGTAATTGTATAATTCTTTAGAAAACGGGGTATTGAAGGATTTCCAATTCAGCTTTCTTTAACCTATTTTCCATCGGATTAAAGTATATGAACCGGCAAAATAATGTGCCTGTCCTTAGCTTTACTGAAAAAGGTCTTGAGATAATTACTTGACAGTGACTCTTGCTTCCTGTGACAGTTCAATTGTGTGGCAAAGCTGTCTCCAAAACCTGTGCAGTCACTCTTCCAGGTTCAAGTGTAAATTAAGCATCTCTAAAGACTAAGGATGACTTCGGAATTTCTGGTACAGTGATCGTAATATTATCATCGGTTGTGATATATTTTACCTTTTAAATTTTGTTATTAATCCCCACTTATAACATGTAAGATGGTTTAGGGTTTAATTGGGAGTGGTAACGGGTAAGATGGTATCAAATTCTGGTTCGTCCTATTTGCAAAAAAAAAAATTCTGGTTCGTCCAGATCTCCTTGTAACGTGAGATTGTTACATGATGGCAGTGAGTTGAAGTACTAAGGTTGCCAATAATGCAACAAAGCCATGTAGCTGTTTTTAAGATTACTTCTGTACCGAAACGTTAGTGTGTAATAAAAATTACATACAGTTGATTTTTATTTCTTCTAGTCTTTTACAACATGCACTTTTCCATTTGCTGCAATGAGTGATAATTCATAAACTCTAGGCAAGCTTCAAAAGGATTTAACGTGAATGGCAAAATTTTGTCATAGATGTTCAGGATTGGTTATACAAATACTCTATCTTAGTTTGAATTCCTCCACATGGAGATGCTTAAACCATGCACTCTATATATAAATAATAGTAATTATCTTGTCGTTTAATTTCAATCTTGAAGTATTGAACTTTGAACCAATTGTGTAAAGTAAAAAATGTAATACATGTTGACTGCTATAAAGAAAGGGCTCTTTCACCCATATGAGGTTTTTATCCCATTAATTTTTTAAACTGGTATTTAATTCACGGTATTTATTAATAGGGGTCATTGAGTGATGCGAGGGGACCAATGGTACTGAGTGCCTCAACTCTCCCCCACGCGTCACTCACACATTCTTTTATTTTTTTATATTTTTTTAATTGAGTGACGACCCTTCTCCTGGGACACTCATAGAATTGTGGCACAATCTCATTAATCTCGTTATTGTAAAACTTCGAAAAGTCATAACTTTTGACTCGGGTATCCAAATCAGATGATTTTTTTTTTAAATTTTACATAACTTTTTGAGATCTACGCAATGACATTTTATTTGACATATTTTATCTTTCACAAACAAATTTTATCTCTTCATTTAGCACAATCCTATAAGTGCTCCAGGAGAGGGGACGTAACTCAATTGAAAAAAAAAAAAATGTGTGAGTGACACAAAGGGAGAGTCACAGCACTCAGTGACACTGGGTCTCTCTCGCTTCACTAAATGACCTCCATTGATAAATATTATGAATCAAATACCATATTAATAAATTAAAATCTCAAAAAATCCCGATCGATCAAAGAGCCATAAAGAAAGCTGTGTTAAAAAAAGAAAAATCTTTCCAGGAATTGAGACCTACCCAGTTCGAGTGGGAAGAAAAAGAGAAAAGAAAAAAATGTACCGGGACCAAGGAACTATTGTAAGTCCAGCCTTTTCTTTTGACCCAAAAGAAAAAGAAACTTTGGGACAAAGACCATATTGTAATTTTTTAAGCAAAAATTTATCGGATTGTCATGTCAGAATTATTTTTTGTCAAAATGCCATGTCACAATCTCGCGGGTCTGACAAGCGGAAATGAACTGGACACGTGGCAGCGTCTGAATGGTCAACCATTCTAGCTAAGCAGCCCAGCGCGAATGACAGAATGTTGACACGTGGCAGAAGTACAGGCAAGTGCAGAGAATGCCTGTGTACTTCTGCCACGTGTCAGTATTCTGTCATTCGCGCTGAGCTGCTTAGCTAGAATGGTTGACTATTCAGACGCTGTCACGTGTCCAGTTCATTCTCGCTTGTCAGACCAGCGGAATTGTGACGTGGCATTTTGGCAAAAAAAAATTTTGGCATGACAATCCGATAAATTTTTATTGAAAGGGTGTCAGTTTGGTCAATGTCCCATGAATCAATCGCAGGGCTCCGAAACTCCTAAATTTTCACTTTACGGTTATTTATATCTTCGAAGCAGCAATTTTACAAAGCAATAAAAAAAGATAATTGAAGTGTAGTTGTAATGAAGCGAATAACAACAACTGTAGTCAGATATTGTCAACTGTCAAAATGCGTATTTAGATTCTTTTGTGTGTGTGTTGGGGGGATCTTTTTAATAAGCTCCCTGCCAATATTTCACTGGGTGCTCCATTTCTAATAATGAAAAAGTTTTTTTTTATTTATGTTCTTATCTTCTTTTTAAATTACTTCTCAATTCTTTTTTCTTTTCTTTTTTGGTTAGGGCTCACAAACTCCGGGCCTACTATAAATAAGCTCGTGTTAGGTGGGAAAAGCACCATTTTAAAATTTTTGAGCAAAAGAATTGTCCAGTTAAAGTTGATTGAATAAGTTTTTTTCAAAGTAATGCAGTCAAACATGTCACATATGCTGACGGGACTAGTCTCATCACTGACACTGACGGGACTCGTGCCACGTCAGCGCCATGTAGGCAGTTTTGTTACCATAAAACTTCAGAAGACCATAACTTGAGACTCGGGTATCCAAATCAGATGAATTTTTTTTTTGATTTCACATAACTTTTCGAGATCTACGCAATGACATCTCATTTAACATATTTTATCTCTCACAAACATAATTTGAATTGGTAACAATTGTACCACAATCACGCGTTTAAATTCAAAAGATCTTCAAATTATGTTTGTGAGAGATAGAATATGTTAAATGAGATGTCATTGCGTAGATCTCGAAAAGTTATGTGAAATCAAAAAAAAAATCATCTGATTTGGATACCCGAATCACAAGTTATGACCTTCCGAAGTTTTACGATAATGAGACTGCCTATGTGGTGCTGACGTGGCACGAGTCCCGTTAGCATATGTGACATGTTTGACTGCATTACTTTGGAAAAACTTATCCAATCAACTTTAACTGAGCAATTTTTTTGCTCAAAAATTTTAAAATGGTGCTTTAACCCGTGTTGGGCGGGGGGTACCTTGTTTTTAACTCACAATTGTGAGGTAGCAGACACATTAGAACAAGGTTTAAAGAATAAAAACTCGACCTTGATCCCGTAAAAATAAAAATAATTACTAGTAACCATGTACTATATAATTATTTAATTAATTCCGTAATTGCAATGCCTGTATAGCAAATCCTTCTTGGTTATTCTCCAAGGTCCAAGCTCACTTGTTACATAGTATGGGCGCGTGCAGCAGATTTTCTTAGAGAGAAAATGATTTGATCAGCTGCAAGGTCCTTCTCATCACTCTTATAAGGAGGAGGTAAATTGCTACCATACATTCCCAATCAAAAGTATGTTACAAGTTACAACATCCGGCTGCCAGAAGCATCAAAAGCATATATATAGGACCCAAAAAAGAAACTACTCACAGTAACAGCCATTTACCACTTTTCTTGTGGTTTTCCACCATAAGAGGAGGAAAGAGATAAAGATTGGGGGGGGTCTGAGATACATAATACATACATACATTTTCAGGTTATCAAATTGGAGACACTAAAACAGCAGTATTTCCAATTACAGGCTGAAGACTGGCTACTTGCTCTAGTTGTTTCCAAGCTTCCTTTCGCTTCTCAGCTGCTGAGCTTAGCATTGCTTCTTCGTCCTTAAACTGAGAATGACAAGACAAGAACAGCTTCTCATCCATCTCCATGAACATCTTTCTAACATTATGAGTTAAGTTGAGCACTGCCTGGTTCCAGTGGCTTTGACAATTCCTCTCTAAAGCTGGATATATGATGGGCAGGATCACCTGACGGTTGTGAGCAATCAAGTTCACTATATGGTCGTTGTTCCATAAGAAATGGGCTCTTTCAGCTACCTGAAATAATCCATGTTCAATAATAATAATAAAAAAAAACATATGTTTTAGCAATCAACAAGCATTTTGAACGAAACAACTGAGATAGAGAAAAAATGCAGCAATGAAATCATTGATTCAAAAAAGGCAAGAAAGGCAGCTGCCATTCCGAAGTGGAGGTTCAAGGAACTTGGAAATATACTTCAAGAAAATATGGAGAGCTGAGCTTTAAAGAAACAAGAAAAACTACTTTCACATCCTATCAGTAACCCATGACCCAAAATTAATGCAATCAAAAGAAGCACCTAAATACAAGAATCCCTCAACAAAAGTTGCAACAAGTTTTGACTTTGAACCTGAACCAAAGCATTATGGCGTAAAGGAAAACCTCTGCATAAATGGAAGTTTAGTGACTCACATCCAACCAATATATGGGACTCATGGTCCTACATCAATTCCATTAAGGACGGATAAACCAGGCTATGATACCTGCTGACATTGAGGAGAGCCCACTCCTAAAAGCCAGGTTACTATGAGGGACAAGGCCAAACCCATGTTCACAGGGCTCCCCAATTTGCACATAGGAGTTAGGGTCGATTATATGTAACCTTATCTTTGTATTTTTGCAAAGAGACTGTTACTACGAGGGGAATGCCTTCAATTTAAATGGGAGTTTGTGTCTCAGACCAAGCAAATAAGGGACTCGCTTCAATCTCCCTGGTGTGGATGAACTGCTGTTTCCAACCCAATGAGACTGACACATGCGCAAAAGTCCCATATGGTGTGAAACATGGAACACCCGATTTAAAGCAGAGGCTCTCCTCTACATGTTAGAGAGACTATAAGAGGGTCTTCGCTAGTTTGCTTAATAATCTACTGCAGAAATATGACTGTAAAAGCAAATCATAGAGCACCATGCAAGCTATAGTTATAGGGCATGGATTTCATTCATTCCTATAAGAAAATAACATAGCACTACGTAGATAGTGAGGATTTACTAAAAGGATTCACTATATGTGCATAAAATATGTACATTTCTACCTGAAAGTGCGAACTGTTAATGCAGCATCCAATTCGCCAAAACAATGGGACCATGACCCTCTGGAACTCTACCATGTTAATTGCTTCCAAAATTTCTTCAAGTTCACCCAGGAACATTACCTCTTTCTGACTATTTGTTATTGGCCAATATTTTAACAAACCCCTTATCACAATGCTCCCCAATTTGGGCTCCTTCTCTATAAACTGCGTAACACAGTAGGACAAATGCTGGAAGTAGACCCCCATAGATTTTGGCTTGTGCAAGGGGATCAAAACTCTCCACAAGAAGATTTTGTGTTCCTCTTTCAAGGGCAAAGCAAACCCGCTGATTACGCTCCCATAAATCTCCAATAACTCAGCAATCCCATTGAGTTTCTCAGTCTCAAACACAAACCTATAAAACAAGTTGTTAATAGATTTTCGAATATAGGGTCTATGCACCATGAACTTCCCATAAACCCTATGCAGAATTGTCTTCAAGCAGTCTCTTTCCCTAGGATCCTCCGAATCAAACAACTCCAACAACCTTAAAATAAACGAATGGTCGATATACTTCTTGGCCACCTTGACATCAAGGCACGAAGAAGTAATAAATTTAAGCAGCAATTCATACACAAGCTGCAAATGTGGCCAAGCAGGATCAAACGTTGGCTCATCATCATCATTCTCACCACCACGGTTCGACCCATAATTTGGCGGGAAAACTCGAAATAGATTAATAGCACACATTTTACACATAGCAAGAATTGCAGGTTCACCAAACCTTACGGACCCAGCAGAAGCCACAAAATCAACAAGTTCAACCAAAGTTCGCCTCTTCACATCTTTCTCCACCGTATCCTTACCGGGGTCAGTGAAATCGAACGTGACGCAACAAAGGCTCAACTTGCTCATAAACAGGTTCATCTTCTCCGAGCTCGGAACATCCTTGAACGGCACCAACGGTTCAATCAATGACACGGTGCTCGCCGGAAAAACCGCCGACGAGGAAGTTCGTTTCGCGGAGTTGGTTCGACCCGAGGAGCTGCCGGCATTTGACCGGTTGTTTCTACCGGCGGCGCGCGGCGAATCCTCCCGGGAGGAGCTCGAGCGTGACGAGTCACCGCGGCATGACTCGTCCGAGTCGGGTTTCGATGTCTTGCGAGGAAGTTTACTGAGGAATTGCTTGAGCATGGCGACCCAGTAGCTGAAAGCGATAAATTTCGAAGCTTTAGATGGAACCCATGAAAGAACAAAATCAATGTAACCCAAAAAACGTTGATTTCTTCTTCTACAAGAGCATTGAAAGGGAACAATGAGGAAGAAACAGGATGAGAAACCCTAGATCTCAGTCATGGAAGCAAGCGAAAATTCCCAGCAATGTGAGAGAAACCGCATGAGATTGAGATGGAGATTTTAAATGGGACGAGGGAAATTTGCGATTTTGCAGCACTCATTGGTGAAAAATCAAATCTTTAAGATTGTGGGTGACAGCCAAAAGAGGAAGAGAAAGGGAAAGAGAAAATGCAAATGCATTACAAAAAGGGTAGAGAGTAATTAACATTAAAAACCCGCCATTTCTGATTTTTCTCGGGAATAAAGAAAAGAGAAAAGGAAATTGTGGTTGAATTTATTAGAAAAGAGAGGGTTGCGCAAATCAAAAAAAGAGGGAATGTGATATTTGCAGATCAGGAAGTTTTCCGGTGTGATTTTGGGCAATGAAACCCTCTGAGTCTGAGCTGTTTCTTCGTGTTGTTAATGAATAATGTGATCCAATCCAACTCCATGGAACTAAAAAATAAACAAAAGAGAAAAAAAGTACAATGAGGCAATGTGCCGGTTTTAACTTCTTTTCCCTTGTCTGTGGATAAAATAATCAAATAGTGATAATGGCACTTATTACATTGTATTGGCATATATGATATATTTAAGGGAATAATGTTTTATACATGATAATTTTATTTTATATACACATATTAAAATATCTGTATTTCATATGAGGAGAAGATAAAAAAATACTCAATAGATGCAGTTCAGTTGGTTCCTTGGCGCTGAGTTAGTAGGGTTGGACATGTGTTCGATTCTCGCTGAATGCATTCTTGGGGAGGGGGCTGAACCTTTAGCCATCACTGACCCCGCACTCCGGATTAGTCCCATAGCCGGCTCAAAGAGTCGAAGCTTGTGGGGATACCGGAGGGAGCCAACTCGTCTCAAAGAGGTAATTAGGGTGGGGTAACTCCAAAAAAATAAATAAATAAATAAACATGTGGCCCATATATATTTATATGCGTAGAAAATAAATTTTATTTATTACAAAATAAGAAACAATAATATCTATATTTAATTGGCACGGTGGACTTACCATAATATTGTGTTTTATTTTATTTTATTTTGAGATGCATTTGCGGAAGGAGTGGATTTTGGACAGAAAACTCGTGTAACGGAGCGTATGTAATAAAGGAAAATGTCAGGACAGTAAAGTAAGCCTGTAAAACTATGGACATGACAGCTTCATACGCGTGTCTGTGCAGATGCATTACGCCTGTATTTTTTAAAGGAGTTGGGTAATTCGTTACACAGATCCGAAAATTATTAAATTACCGATAGATAGTATGTATTTTTAAGAATTTTGGGTATTAACAGATAATAATTATTCGTTCAAATATATTTAAACAGTTTAATCAAATGCTAATATATATATATATATATATATATATATATATATATATATTGGGAAAAACATTTCTCAAGCAGATTGAGATAAGTTTATCTTCGGCTATCTTAAAATTACGTCGTTTTATTTATTTATTTTCTTATATTAATTGATTCATCTTTAAATAGTTATGATTCTCTTTTTCTCTCTCTTCTTTTATCTCTATTGATCCATCTTTGTACGGTTATGATTTACTAGTCGGAGATAAGATTATCTCAAGCAGCTTGAGAAACGATAAGCTCATATATATTATACAAGTAGAAATTGAATGCATAACTTAATATAAGCTACCTAAATCTCTTATCACTATACCAATTCAGTATACCAATACTAATAATTTTATTTATTTATTTGTATTATATATGCTTCTGTTATTAAGTTTGATTCTCTCATGTATTTATTATGTCTTTTTAACAATTAAGTACAGGCTAGTAATTAGTATGAAACTAATTTTAAAAAGATGTCATAAGTTCAAGTAATAATTACAATTTATTCGAGTGAAAGGAAAGAAAATTTGAGTGTCTAAATCCATAAAAGTAGTATACACATTTATTATCTTTGTTATTATTTCGGGATGACTCCAACTCTTTAGCTCGCATAAGGCTGATTTAGACTTCCCACGATCTAACCGTCTAAGACATGAGCCCACCAACCCCGGACGTGAGGTGTGTGACCCATGATCCTGTAGCCCATTTCTTCACCCGCAATCATCACTTGCCGCACTCTAGGACCACTCCTCCCCCCTCCCCCAAATTACTATCTAGGGAGCAGTATAAACACTCGAACAATACTTCTAAAGGGGCCAAATCACCCACATTGTGTTTCGGAGCACTCACCATTCCCGTAAACACACATACACACCTCCTTTGAGTTTTTCCATTGGGCTTTACCTTGAATGTTAATCTTTTCATTGCCAGTCATTCTTTTCATTAGCTTAGTAGATACAATTACCAGCTCCTTAACTTGACATTGGTGTTCACTTTCGAACAATTACAACTATTTTACTCCAATTAAGTGATGGCTATTTCCATTTCTTGTTTCTAACAGTCTTTAAACTCTATTTATCTATTGATAAATAATATTTTGATACAAAAATGACCCAAATTATAAGATTTATGCGTTAAGATTTGACATTGATTCATTAACCTAATTCAACTCAATCTAAGTCACTTTTATCCTAATAATCATCAAGAATAACACTTTATTAAAAAAAATACTTATAAATAATAGGAGTTTGTAATTGTCATTTAACATGACACAACAAATTTTTCTACACACACAACATTTTGTGGGATCCACACTTTTTGAAGAAAAAAGAAATTACGGCACGCAAAATGAATCTCTATAAGATTACACAATTACTTTTCCTATAATATAACTATTATAAAACTTTAAATAATATCAACTAATAACCTTTTCATTTCCTTCAGTACTAAGCCGGCTCTTACAAAATTTGTCTTTAACCCAAACTGAAATAAAGGGCTTTTGGGCGATGAGACTCAATATTCGAAACCCACTGAACTTACCGGCGCGGCCTGCTCCAAGCTGGGCCGACCAATCCTTAAACTAAACCCGTTTTGGACTCCCGTTTTCAATAAACAAAACTAAATAAAAGAAAACATAATAAATAAATGGGAAAAATATTTGTCATTTTAAATGACATAACACTCCGTCCTTTTAAGAGAGAGACAGACACACAGAAAAAAAATTATTTAAATTTTAAATTAAAAAAATCACTCACTTTCTCTTTTCCATGATTTCTATTTTTCTGTGTCTATCTCTCTCCTAATATGACATAACTTATATCATTTAAAATGACCAAATTCTAAATAAATAAATAAATAAAGAAAAGAAAAGGGAAAGATTTTATGATTTGGGAATAATCTATGAGGCTACTGTGTGAGACGGTGGTACTGGCTTTCAAAAGGTTTATTGAGTGGTGAGTGGTGACGCTAAACGATCTTTGCCTTCTCCGTCATACATAGAGGGGCCCCACTTCCTTCCCAACCGTCATCGTTGCCGTTTCCGTCTTCTCTGTCGTTTCGATTGGGATTCTTTGAGTGCCGGATCGTTTTTGAATATCATTCAACACTTTCCGTCATTTAATTAACTAACGTGTTTCTTTCGCAAATCAATAATCACTTCAGGTATAACCAACCTCTTTATTCCTTTTCCCTTCCTCCTTTTTCAAACATTGTATAATTATTCTCAGAAACAACCAAAAATGGCATCACTGTAATTTTTGATTTTGTAATGTTTATCAGCTCAATGCTATGCTTCCTTTGGTGGTGAACTTAGATGGACGACGTCGTTATTGAAGGTCCACCTGAAACTTACCCGTTGCTGATGTCGCATGTCATTGACATAACGGGTGCGATTCCCGATGCTTCAGCTTCAGCTTCAGCTTCCACTTCTACCTCTACTCATGACAATACACGTGTTAATAGCATAGATTTTGGTGTACCTGGTGGTGGTGGTGGTGGTGGTTCGAATGGATCGAATTCTAGGACACGTAGGCGTAGTAGTATTAGTAGTAGTAGTAGTAATAATAATAATAGTGTATTGAATTCAGGGTTATGGATATGTATTGAGGTAATCCTCACAGTAAGCCAGGTTGTTGCGTCTGTTGTTGTTTTGTCTTTGTCAAGGCATGAGCATGAGCATCCTCGTACCCCTTTGTTTGCATGGATTGTCGGTTATGCATCTGGATGTGTTGCTACCCTTCCTTTACTCGCTTGGCGATATTATCACAATCGAAATAACCGTGTTCGAGAGCAAGATTCATCATCTCAAACCTCTCCTTCAGGGACAAACGGAGGAGGAGGAGAAAATGTTCCATCATCTAGAAGCAATCGAGATTCATGGTTGATGAATAGGAGGTATTCAATTGCCAATTGCTATTGTCATTGTTAATTGCTTATGCTTAAATTAATATTTGGGAATGGATCTTGTCCGTTGATTTGTTCATAAATTGTTAAGATTGTGATTGTCTCACATTACGTGGTCATATTAAATAATACATGAGATTATCATTCCCTAAAATGTTTCGTTAGTTGCTATTTTTCTGTGTCTTATTTAAACTAGGGCCTTCACAGAGCTTGGTTTTCCTGTGTCTCCAAAGTTGCTTTCTCCATAACAAACACTGAAAAGGATGAAAGCTCTGGTGTTCAGTTCACAATAGAGCTCAATAGTTGTTTAATCCTCTTTACTATTGTTGAAGATGGGTTTGAGAGCCTAGGATCTATTCTGAATTTGAACATTTTAGTCCACAAGTTTTAGCTTTTGGCCTGGTAGGGTTTCTGATTTGGACATTATTTCCTTCCCTCCCTCTTCTGTATGAGCAAATATATAGCTATGTAACAAAATGTTCTTTCCTTGAGTCCATGTCTTTCTCTCGGGGTGCTTCCCTTTTCTAACTAATCAAACTATGATAATGGTGGATTACTTTGAGCTTGTTATTTGATCCTTCAGTACAATCATTGTCTCTGTTTGAATGGGAAATGGTATATCAATTTACCATCAGCATTTAGTGTACTGGTAACATGTGATGAGAATAAGGTCTTGTTGGTGCTATTTTGCATCGCATCAATGTTATTGTACATTCAAAAATTTGAAATTTGTATTTCTTTTTTTTGGTTGTATGGTAAGAGCCCCCACCCTCGCTAGTCGGGATTTAATGGAGAGTGCTTGTATGTTAAGGGTATTCTTGAGAAGAAACGATACTGTCTTAGCCTAAAGAATTCAGGAGATTTGAGAACCTATCTGTAATAATTGAGAAAAAAGTCAAGGTTGTTTCTTGAATTTCCCTGTTTATTCATTCATTTTTGAAAATTTATTGTTAAATCATCAATGGTTATAACTCCATTTGTGAGTAGTTTATGAAGTTGCTAAGCCCTTGCCTACACTTAAAAAGCAGACTGAAGCTACTTGCGGAATACTTGAAAATTGCCATAGATTGCTTTTTTGCTATATGGTTTGTTGTTGGAAATGTATGGATATTTGGAGGACATTCATCTGCCGATGAAGCTCCTAACTTGTACAGGTATAGCCTTTCAGCAGCTCTTACATTTAATCTTCTGATTTTTCAGAGACTCCAGATTATATCTGCTTCCTTTTGCTTGGCAGGTTATGTGTAGTGTTTCTTACTTTCAACTGCATCTGTTATGCTATGCCCTTCATTCTATGTGCCACAATCTGCTGCTGTCTGCCTTGTATAATTTCCATCCTCGGGGTTAGAGAGAATCTGACACAAACCCAAGGTGCAACCTCTGACTCTATCAATGCTCTGCCGACTTACAAGTTCAAAGTGAAGAAAAATAAAAGCAGGGATGAAAGCAACTCAGCCGTTGGTGAAGGTGGAATTGTAGCTGCAGGAACTGAAAAGGAACGAATGGTCTCTGGAGAAGATGCAGTAAGTAGAACCTGATCTTTATTTATCCAGGATTTTTCAGTAAAACTTTATAACATCCTAACTCCTAGCATTATTTGTCTAATCACACTTTGTAAATTTGTGTATGAAAAACCATGCATCTGATCAAACTTCTGATTCTTTGGCTTGGTCTATGGAGTGAACAATTTTAGGCTTGTAGGTTATAGTTTGTAAGCCTGTTCTAATTCATTATGTTGTTCCTTGAAGAGACTGGGTAACTGTTGTCTCTGAAAAACTTTTTTCTGATCATAGAATCTTAAGAAATTTTTTGTCACATATGCCCATCTATCAGGTAACGAGCGTTTGCTTTGGTGTTAGTGCTGTTGTCATCAACTTTTGATAATTGCAGAGCGAAAAATCTACAATCACCTGCTTAGTTTCTGTAATCATTCGATATTCTGGAATGACAGCAGGTTTTGTGGTTCATGGGTTACTATGCAGTTTCATCATGTAAATTGAATCAAAATGGGGAGGCCCATTTATTTTCCTACCTATATCATTCTCTTTTGTCCTGGATTAGTTTTGCCTATCTAATCTTCTATCACTTTTGAATTCAAGCATTCATTGGATATTGTCTGCTATTGTTTCTCTCTTGTGTGCATTAGTGCTATGGTTATTGCAATTTTGAAAGCCCTGTTTGCTTGCTATTTCAGCTGTTTGTTGAAATAGACTCCTAATTTTCAAGTTTTTCTGAATTTGTCTCTTAAAAATCCTACGTCACTGTATGCCTTTCTTCTTGTATCAGGACTCAATTCTTTTTTTCTTTTTTTTTTGGTGATGACTTTCGATTCTTTTTTGTGTTGGATGAGTTAGTCTACTTGCCGTGACTGTGGTATGGTTGTACTTTCTATGGTTGTCTGCAGGTTTGCTGCATCTGCCTGGCGAAGTATGAAAATAACGATGAGCTGAGAGAGTTGCCTTGTTCTCATCTTTTCCACAAAGACTGCGTAGACAAGTGGTTGAAGATGAATGCATTATGCCCGCTTTGCAAGAGTGAAGTGGGTGAGAATGTAACAGGATCAGTCTCGGGGGTTGATAATGGCCTAGCCAGTACCTCATCCTAATCTAGTTATATACATATAGTCATATACATACTTTGTAGTTTTGTAAAGCGTCTCCTATGCTGCCTACTCTTTTCCTTGGATGGATGTCTGATTCTGAGTTCATTCATTCCATTTCATTTTTGTTCATATATACGTTTTCATTTTCTTGGTGGAACTTAAGTTGGTTCATTCGTGGCAATGGCTTTCTGTATTCTACTTATCATATAGCTGACACTGTTACAGGAATTGTAAGTGAATGGGAATTATAGTTGCACAGAAGTTTTGTTTCTCTTAGCTCTCAAAGTTCAAGGAGAACTTCGATGGGAGAAAAAAATGGAGAGTAAGGGATAAAAAAGAGAGACCTCTGAAGGATATTTTTCTGCGAGAAGAACATTACTCACAAAGTGAAGTCACTTTTCTTTCGTACATACTGTGCAATGATATGTTGCTATTTTATTACTAATATATTTTATAATACGAATTATTAACAAAATTATGATTATCATATTACGAAGTGTGATTGTTTCATTAAAAAGTTGAATTCCTGAAACTTTAATGGAGAAACTACAGCTCATAATAAAATAATCTCAATCTATAATACAAACATTTATTCGAAAGATGTAAACTTGGGATGTATTACCTCAACACGCTCCTTCACACAAGAGCTCTTTAGGCTTGAAGAGTGGGCAATGCAACAGGCCTAGCCTACCTGTGCTAAGAAACTCCACGAGAGAAAGTGGGGGGCGGCGAGACTCTGATACCATGTAAAGAACCTTGGGATACACCACTCCAAAAGCTAGCTCAAAGGGTGGGAGTGCCCAAGGCCTTATAAACTCCACATTAGTTGCACATTCAACCAATGTGGGACTATACATCTCAACAAAAGACATTTAAAAAAAAAAGAGAGTGTATCACATCAAAAAGAAACTTTTTTTTTTTACCAATTTTTTTTTTGAAATCGGACTTATTTTTTTTTAGCAGATGACTTAAATGTTTTAACCTATGGATAATTTACATGGCAAGAAATTTTGTGTTTAACGTGATTGGGAGAGAGAAAAAAAAATCAATGGCCTCCCATCAATTCTTGTCTCCGCAGGAAATATTTTTGTTTTCTTGTAACATGATGGATGTATTACTCTATTAGATATTTAAACTCACGATAACTGATTAAACACTTTATGTGAAATGGGCAATTTCAGTATTTTAAAGTGGAAAAAAGTATAATTTTGGTTTCAAACCAAACCAAAAAAGATAAAAATTTAATTTTCAAATCAAATTAATCAATTTTTATTAAAATAAATAAATTTAACCAAAATTTATTTATTTTTTATATCATTTGATTTAGTTATGGACATTTTTTTAATAAATACTTTGTATCATAAAGTGTTAAATGTGAAATAGAAATTGATATTTGCTTAAACATGTAATGATATTATTCTGAAGACTATTGTGTAATTTAAATTTCACATATAATTAAAGGAGAATTAGGTCATAAGAATATAATTTTATAAAATTATTATTAATAATTATTTCTTAAAATTTTAAAAATATGAATCAAAAAGTATAAAATTACAATATTTATCAATTTGCAATGACTCCTTACTTTTTATTATATAATATTTATAAATAACTTCAAACATCTTTATCGTTATTTACTTTTTATCCTTAATAAAAATTTAAATTAATAGATACATAGTACCGATGCATACCTTATTGTAAATAACTAAGATTAAATATTATAATTAAGGGTGTAAAATGGGTTAAGTCAGATTTTAACCTAAATAGATTATATTTTTGTAACAAAAATATTTTTAAGCCTGCTTGACACAAGCTAAATTATAAGCTTGTCTTGGCTTATTTTTAAAAAATATAAGGACTGATTTGCACTATCAAAACTTAAAACATGACATATTCTATTAAGTAAATAATAGGTTATGGCCACTTTGTTTGTTCATAAAAAAGTTGAAAGAGTACAATAGTTGAAACCATAACTCAAAATATTAACAATTTAATTATTGAACCGTTAGGGATGCTAGAGAGCCAAGTATGTAACCCTAAGGGGTGTTGACGTATAATGATCACTGGTCATTGTAGGGGTGTTTTTAATAACAATGATATAGACCAAGGCTATATAAGAAGGTACCAAGTGCAAGTGCATTGTGTATCAATAGAAGCTATGTAGCACTGATACCAACACGGGACACGTGACACGACACAACACTTCGATACGTTAATTCTAAAAAATGTTAGATTTTGATACGTTAGGACACGTTTTGATATTAAATAATATTTTTAATTTATGTAGTGTATATTATATTTAATATTCAATAATTTAACAAAACAATGAAATTAAACTTATAATATTCATCAAATTTGCAAAGAAACATAAGATATCCTAAATATTTATATTAAACTCAATAAAATGGTAATTATAATCTAACAAATCTAATAGTTGGAACTAAAAACTCAACGCAACACAACCTTTGAACTTTTTTTTGAATCTCTATAATGTGTGTTGGAGTGTCGAAGAGTGTCGGACACGACACGTTAGAGTTTTTGAAGTGTCAGTGCTTCATAAAATAGAAGTGGTGTTTGAAAGGCTGCAATGGCTCTTTAAGTTGACAGAGTAACAACTCATGAAAACAGTGATATTGTGTGTGTTCATGGTGGTGAAGAGGGGTATTTATAGGTTCTAAGCTAGTGGAAGAGTGAGCCAAGTCAACTATTACAGGGGAAAGTCATATTAGCCTGACCTTGCAGGTGCAAGGCACTCTGCAGCTGCTGTGCAGGGGAAGGTGAGAAGGGAGAGTTCCTATTAAGTTATTTTGTGTGCCTAGATAAAAAGAAGAGGAGAGTTCTCTCAATGCAAAACATTCTAGTGTCTTACGTTGGAAAGCTGAGACTGCATGGGAGCAGAATTTAGATGTATTATAATTGAAATTTCCTTCTAAAAAATATTCATATTCTCAAAATTATCAATTTTAGTTTCAAATTGAGAAGGCTTTTACATAATATGGAAATAAAATAAGGACTAAATATACATCAACTTGCACGGATCAATACAATTGATAATTTTTGAGGCATAACCAATTGCATCAAAAGAAAAAGACAAATCTTTTTTTTTTTGGTCAAGGAAAAAGACAAATCTTTAATCGTGTATATTTACTCGTTATCTATTAAAATAAAATTAAAAATAGATTATTATTTTGATTCTTTAAGAAAATTGGAAAGATAAAAAAATTGAAATTTTATTTTAGAAAATTTCAACCCGTGTTTTAAGGCTTTATAGAATTTTACAAATTGAATCAAAAGGGAAAAAAGTAAAAAATTAAAAATGAATTAAATTTTATTATAAAATTAAATTTTAAATTAATTTAAAGTAATTGAAAATGTTTACCAAAAAATAAAGTAATTGAAAATTCATTTATATGTGCAAATATATATAATAATTTTAAAAAATAAATTTTAATAATATTTATATTTATTTATTATTTTTTTATTATAAAAATCAAATTTTAATTTTCACTTTTATATTAAATATACATTATATATTTTGCACTTAATTAACATTAATATTTAAAATTCAAATTTATATTTTAGTGTATTTTAAAAAATTATTTAAATTTAAATTTATTATATTTTAATAAATTACTTTAAACCTATATTTCAATATTATATATTTAAAAATTAATCTTTTTATATTATAATATTTTGATGTGTATTTATATTATTTTATTAAAAATACAGGTCATGCTTAGAGACCTCACCTTTTAAAATAAGCCAAACACTGTACTATTATAAAGAAGACATCCAAATTATGTTACACCCATGTGACACCCAGTCAATCTCACCGTTAGATCGCTTATGTTGATTCAACGGTTATATTTATTTTCATCTTTGTATGATCATGATTTCCCAAATTTAAAGTGAAAGCATTAAATATGAGAAATCATAACTATACAAAGGTAGAAATAAATATAAAATATTAAATTTGGGAAATCATGACCATACAAAGATGGAAATAAATATAACCGTTGGATCAACATAAGCGATCTAACGGCGAGATTGACTGGGTGTCACATGGGTGTAACATAACTTGTGTGTCACAATATCCTATCCCTATATAGAATAGTTAATCATTTTAATTAAACTAGTATTTTTTATTTAAAATTTAAATTAAAAAAAAAACATCCCAATTTCTCTTTCGATAATTTTCTTTATATATATATCTTTCTCACACTTAAATATAAAATTAAAAATTAAGCTGGGCTAAACCTGTGGATTGCTTTGTATTTTAATTAAAAAAAGAAAAACTAAACTAGCTATTGCAACGATGCGTTTAAGGAAAAACTTTATAGAAGGATCACGAACGAATGTGAGATGCGGCTAACTTGTTATTCGCGTGCCTGCGCTTTCGATATCGTCTTCTTCTTCTTCTCTCATCGAACATCCTCTTAGGGTTTGCAGTCATACACTCTCTGCTTTCAGCGGCGCTCATCGATAATTCGCTACCTCACGATATTACGGTGTCAAGGTAGGTACCCTTTAATAATTGATTCATTTCATTCTATCGATTAGTTTCCTTCGTTATAAGAACAAGTAAGGCTTGTTGATGCCATTCATAACTTTTGCTTCTTCTGCTTCCCTTTTATTAAAATTAAATCACCTGGATGGATTTGTGGAAAATTAGAAAATGTTCTTTTTTGCTTTTCTTTGATGAATAAACGGTTGTTGTAATTTAATTTTCTATGTGCTTTGAGCTCCACTGCATGGTTGTTTGAGTAAACACTGGGATAGGATTTTGTTTTATCTTTATTGAAGACTGTTAAATTGTGTTGCTATGGGACAAGTTCTGTTAGTCTGTCGTTTGATTTGAGTATTTCTTGATGATGAAGCTGGTAACGTGTTCTTAACTGTTTCATGTCAAAATATAATTTCAGGTCTCGTTGTGTTTTTTTTTGTGTGTGTGTTCTATATGGTTAATGCTACTGGTCTGGGATGTCCAACAACCTGGTTTCAGAGCCGTTACCAAGCATGCAGATGACTCAGTTGGATCCCATTGGGAATAAAGTTGATTCATCAGGGAGACAGATGGAAATGGGACTCTTGGGTCCTGTATCCAGTGATCCTATGTCACAGCAACAGTCATCCTCAAATGATCATGTTGGATTATTGAGAGCCTCGCCTAGGGAACCCAGGTCTCAGGGCTTACCCCTTTCAATCGTGCAAAGTGGGCAGGTAGAAGCGCAAGTAAGTAATCTGGGGCCACAGCAACTGCCAACAACTCCCAAGAGGAAGGCGCCAATGGAACAATTGTCCGGTAGCTCCATGACATCTAGCAAGCGAGTTGCTCAAATGGGACACAGACCTTGGTTGCAGCAAGTATCTAATGCATCAAACAAAGGTTCTCCACAGATGCAATCCTTGTCAAGTGCCTCCAGGCCCCAACATTCAGCAGCATCTAGTAAGAGAAAAACACAGATGGATTCGACTTCCAGTAAATCTGGGACTCCTCGGTCCTTGAATTCTAAAAGTCCGAATACCCTGATGAAACAATCCTCCAAGGTTCAAACTGAATCATCTGAAAGTGTTAGGTCCAAGATGAGAGAGTCATTAGCTGCTGCTCTGGCCTTGGTTTCTCAGCAAGATAAACCTCTGGTCACAAACAATCATACACTTAATGATGCTGCCAATACTCTAGGTAAATTAGAGAATAGCTCCCAGTGCCCCGGGTCAGCATCTGCATCTATTGATACTCCTCTGGAGCGAAGGCAGGAAATTTCTCAATCCGTTAATTCCGCTTTTTCTGCAGCTGATTCAGTTGACCATGTGATGGGGGAGCACAGAAATAGAACAACATCTAATGAAGATTCTTCTGAAAAACACAAGGACTATGAAGCGGGATCCACAAATGTATCAAACAATGAAAATATAATGAGTTCTATGCAAGTCTTGAACTGTGATAAGCAAGACTTTCAGTCAAGTTACACTTTGACTACGGATGATGTTCCTTTCAGTGACAGTTTCTTTATGAAAGATGAACTTTTGCAAGGAAATGGTCTTTCCTGGGTAGTATCTGATATGGTGGACATGGAAAATCAAAGGGGAAGTCAAACTAACATAGAGCAGAGACTGGAACCTGAGGAAATAGGTGGAGGTTGTAAGGAATCGGTCGCTTTACCTGAACATTTAGCGTTAAGGATAGAAGAAGAACTCTTCAAATTGTTTGGAGGTGTGAATAAGAAGTACAAAGAGAAGGGGAGGTCTCTTTTATTCAATTTGAAAGATCGCAACAATCCTGAACTAAGAGAAAGGGTTATGTTTGGTCAAATTCCTCCAGAACAATTGTGTTCCATGACTGCAGAGGAACTTGCTTCAAAAGAGCTTTCCCAATGGCGGATAGCCAAGGCTGAGGAGCTTGCTCAAATGGTGGTTTTACCTGATTCTGATGGTGATATTAGACGTTTGGTTAAGAAAACGCATAAAGGTGAATTTCAAGTGGAAGTTGAACATGAAGACAATGTGTCAGTGGAGGAGGTTTCTGGTGGCACAATGTCAGTTGCTCGAAGCCAAACAAATAAAAATGATGTGGAAGCCGGCTCTTCTCCTTCCAAGCCTGATGTGGTCAAAGGTGATGTGAACACTGATGGTGATAAGAGCAATTTACAAAATGATAATCCATTTTCCATTACCATTTCTTCCAATGATGGGGCTGATCCAATGCAAGAGCTTATGACAGATGATGCATTGAAGGACCCTGACTTTCTTCCGCCAATTGTCTCTCTTGATGAATTCATGGAATCCCTTCATTTTGAGCCACCATTTGAAAATTTACCAGAAGATTCTGGAAAAGTGACACGTATCTCAGACAAGAATGATTCTGAGGTTGGATCTAAATCTCAATCTTCTGATTTAGCTCCAAGTGAGAAAGTTGATGTAACCCGTGATAAGTCTGAGAAGTTTCAGAGCACATGTGTAAATGCAGATGTTGAAGAGGAAAAAAGGGTTAATGCAGAATCTGGGGCCATTTCTTCTGATACAAGATACGGTGAAAAGCAAGCTGGCATGAAGTCGACGGATGATCGTGCCAAGGAAAGGTCCATTGATGACATGAAGTCTGCTTCCGGTGATGCTGAGTTGAGACCCAGTCAGCTTCTTGCAGAAGAGAGATATGGCAATAATAATTCGTATTCGAAAACTGCAATCCTCACTAAGGGTGAATGCCTCTGGGAGGGAATGCTTCAACCCAATATGTCTACCACTAGTTCAGTCGTAAGCATCTATAAAAGGTAATTTACTAATTGTTTTGGTACATTTTTACGATAAGTTGCTACTTTGGATTTGATTATTTGACCGAGCAACTTCCTTTGTCATGTAGATCCTGCTTCCCATTTGATATTAGAATTTGGAACTATATATGCCTTCCTCATTCATTTATACTACTGCTTTTTTTTTATTTGGCATAGACTTATGGTTTTGTTTAAGTCTGCATGTAATCTTGCATTAAATATTTGTTATCCTTTATTTAATGTGGTCCTTTGTGTTCACTGGATCAAAATTTCATAGTCTAGTTGAACTCAATGCCAGTTGTGCAGAAGCATTAGTCTTATGCATATATTTATGAAAAACAAGCCTCATGAGATTTCTCTAGGGTCTGGAATCTTAGTTTTAATTTCTCTCCTTTTATAAGTACTATGGTTTAACTTCATGCACTCTTACATGCCATCTTATAAAAAAAAATTAATTGAGTTTTTGTTGGTTGGAGCTTTTGGTTTATGTGACTGTGAATGAGTATTGTTGTCTGTGAATATGGTTTTGGTCAGGTTGTTAAACATTTGTCTTGTGAATATCATTCTTTCTTCACAAGATTCAAAATTGACATTAGACACCCCCTCCCCAAAGTGGGGGTGGTACTATTTAAATAGTAGTTATTTGATTTTTGTAGTTTCTTTTAAGCAGCTAGTTTCAGTTATATATTTGATGAGCATTAACTAAACACACTTCTAGACAATTACTGTAATTGTTATTGCTGCCAACTTCTTTCCTAATTGTTGGTATGGTAAGTAGGCATGTTAACTTCATAGTATATTATTCTGTGCTTTTTGTGTCATTCAACCAGTCCAAAACATATGGATTTTAGATGTTGTTTTCTGATTGTCTTGAAAACGGTGAACAATATTGTCTTTAGAGTTGGATGGATTTATTTGTTTTTCCTCCTCCTTTTCAATTGGAGAGATCTGGGTGGTGGAGTCGCTGTGTTATGTTGAGGACCACCCGGCATCATTTTTAACTTATTTCTATCCAAAAATGTAGTTTTGAGATGTATTCTTTGAAGAGAATTAATATTTCTTTAAGTGCTTTTTTCTGATCTTACGTTATATTCTTTGTGAAGTGGTGAGAAAACTTCAGTGAAAGACTGGCCTGGGTTTCTTGAGATCAAGGGAAGGGTTCGACTTGATGCATTTGGGAAATTTCTGCAAGAGCTTCAACATTCAAGAAGTCGTGCTATCATGGTATCTCAAGTTTCCTTTTGTTGTGCTAGACTGTTATCTTGTCTGTTTACCTCAACATCCATGCAGAAAGCGATGATTAAAAAAAATTATGTTGCAGTTTGATGCTAATTCCTTCTTTCACCGCATCTAAAGTGTAGTATTTTTACTAGCACAATTTGTTTGCTGCTTTTCCTTTTCCTTTGTTGATGAGATAAAGGCGGCAGTGGAGTGGTTGGTGGTCGTGTATGACAAATGACGCTTAGTTTTTAAGGCTGGAAGGATGGTGTATTTTTTGGAGTAGAAAGTTAGGAAACAAGAAATGTATGTTATGGGGGTAAAAATTGAATACTGGGATTGTGTAGCTTTTAACAATGCCACTTAAAATGTATTACGACATTAGATTGTTTTTGGTAAATATATTATGTTATCGGGTGACTTGAATAAAAAAGCTTCTCATCCTTTGAGCCTTTGTCTTCATGAAAATCAGATATATTTTTAAAAAGTATTTTGACAGATAAAATGAAAAAAGAAGAGGGGGGGGTTTGAAAAATTTAAGAATTTGTTTTATATTAAAAATGGTGTAAAAAATCCATCCCGAAAATTCTCTCCTATTTTAACGGGGATAACAAATCTGAGTCTTTGGGTTAGTATCGATAACAGGCATGGGACCATTAGAATGTTGGGATATGAGCGTGGTTAACTGGTTTGAATATGATGCCTGACTGAGGTTACATGCTGTTTTGATATTAATATTTCCTTTTAAGGGAATTAGTGTAGCTGATGAAACTTTCTCACGTGACTTTCATTTTGGGCTATGTATAATTAAAAAGTTTCTTTATATGGCAGGTTTTACATTTTGTTTCCAGAGGGTCTTCGCCCGACGAGCATGCAACACTCCGTGAGGTAAAATGATGATTATTAGATTGGTTCTCATATCTACTTTTTAGCTGCGTATTGTTTTTGATATATTAGATAATTTTGCATGCAGGTGGCTGAATCGTACATTTCAGACGAGAGAGTGGGATTTGCCGAGCCTGTCCATGGAGTTGAACTTTACTTTTGCCCACCTCATAAAAAAACAGCTGAAATGCTTAGCAAGATACTTCCAAAGGAACAAATTGAGGCTGTTAATTCTATTGATAATGGCCTAATTGGTATTATTGTATGGAGGAAAACTAATTTAACTACGTCTATATCACCCACCACTTCATCACACCACAAACATAGCTCTAAAAGGCAACACTTCAATAGGAGACAGCAAGATACAAATGTAAATGCCAATTCCACTCAAAAAGCAGTGCCCCCTACGGGCTTTAAGCCCACCGAGACTGGACCCCCATCTGATGGTGATGATGATATTCCTCCCGGATTTGGGCCTGCACCGGCCCGAGTTGAGGATGACCTCCCAGAGTTCAATTTCTCTGGCAGTTCAAATCCGTCATCACACTTGGTCCAAAAACCTATGGGACCAGGATCGGTCCCATTTCACTCGGTTAGCCAAGTTCCATCGCGTCCTGTAGAACAAATGAGGGAGCTTGTACAGAGATATGGGCAAAACAAAGCAAATGTATCTTCAGTAAACTGGCAGGATAAGTTTGGGGCAACAATTCAACCCTGGAATGATGATGATGATGATATACCTGAATGGCAGCCTCAAACCTCACATAATCAGTTTCCTCCCCATCAGACAATGCACAACATTCATGTTAGACCTCACATCCTGAATCAATCATTTGCGGGTTCACCCCATCAGTCAATTATGTCAACGCAATATATGCATGCCCCTATGAATGTAACGCGTGGCCAACGAAATTTTGACCCTCATTTGGGTCCTTCTCCCCGTGGAAACAATATACAGCCAAGTGGTGGGCACCCCTATGGGACACCCGAACAAGGCACTACCTGGTCTCAGTATGTGTCTAGAAGTAGGGGATTTTAGTTACTTTCAGTTTAAAGTTTAGTTCCTTTTTTTTTTTAGTAATGTCTTTAACATTTGTAGCCATGTAAGTTTATGATAAAGTGACATGCTGTTTCTTAGGCATCAATATCTTGTAGAGCAAACGAATGACTTAATTTTCTCCTGTTTTAGTTTGCCAACATTACGTGTTCCGGTGAATAAATATGTGGACAAAGAAATTTTGCTTGCTTTAGCCTTACGATAGTTTTAAATTTCCATGGTACTTTCGTAACGTTGGTTGTTTATACGCAATGCTGCGTGTGACTTGACACTTCAATCCCTCTCGTTTTGTAGTCTATGTAATACTCGTACCTTAATCTTCGGAAATACTGTCTCACATGAAACTCTGCATATACTACCCAACAATGAACGAACATGATCAAGTACCATTATTGTAGCTCCATCTATGATTACTTTTGCCGTTGAAGGATGATTTTGCGAGCCTAGCCCTAGACAAATGAGTTGAAGAGAAAAATGGATAAGAAAAGGGCTAATAGAAGTTGTTCTGTAATATGAAAAGTGTAAATCTTCTAGAAGAACTAATTATTATGCATAATTTTGACATAAAAAAAGGGTTTTAAATAAGGGTTAATAGTTTCTCGTGAACTTGTAAACTCTTCAGTAAAAACAAATAAATGTGGGATTTATCAATTTTATAGGGGAGATTATTTTTTCATGTTGTAGGAGAAAATTATCTTCAGCTACCTTCACAGTAATTTTTATTTATTTATTTATTTAATAATGGTGGGACCTATCATGTGAATATAAGTGTAGCAGAAAATATGTTTTCTTCTACGGCTGGAGAGCCTATTTCCCCATTATATATATATATATATATATATATATATATATATATATATATAATAAAAGCTGACTCGATTTTTGATATTTGTGTAAGAGGAAATGATTTTTACTACAACGAGAGATTCCCCTTTCAATGTAAGTTGTGCAAGAATAATTTATTAGAGATTAATAAAACCACAACCTACTATGATGTTGCGAGATTAGTAGGTTCCAGGCATCCATGTATCTGAATCAATATGTGGAGAAAATACATCATATGTAGGTACATGATTGCCTAATGGAGAAAGTTTTTGGAATTTAGTGGGAAAAATAAAGAAAAGAAAGGGTATAAATGAAAAAATAATTTCTCCATTTAGAAAAAAAATACCCAAGTGGGTACATCCCATGTATTCAATTTTTTTTTTCCCAATTTGTGGCCGATTTCAGAAAAGCCCAAATTTGATATTTCCAATAACTGAAAAATCAACAGAATTGTCCTATTAGAACCCAAAAAATTATTGTATAAGATGTTTGGAAACATTTTCTTCCAACTGCTATTTGCAATTTAGAATATATTGTATAGTATTATTTACGTTATTTAGCAAAAGAACACATCAACGAGAAAAGGCCCCATATTACAGCCAAAAAATATGCACGGAAGAAATATAAATCATTGACAATTCGTAGACTGAGAAATGTGTTGTGAAAGCTATGAACACGAAGAAATATGATCCTCAACCTCCCAATGCTCGCTTGAGTCCTGCTCGTTGCTCTGTGGTCAGTTTTGTAGGGAACTTAACCTCAAATTTGATCCTCAAATCCCCCCTATGACCAGGTTCCTTTGTTTTTGGCATTCCTTCATTTGCAACAACAAACTCATAACCAGGGCTCACAATGTCAGTCACTGAGATACATAAACTACGTCTATCAAGTGTTGTGAGATTTATTGAAGTTCCTCCAATAGCTTCAGCTAGTGACACCCTTTGGTTCATAATGAGGTCGTTGCCATCTCTCTTGAAGAAATCATGAGGCTTCTCATCAATCACAAATACAAGGTCTGCTGGCAGTTGATTTGGTTGCTGATTCCCTTTATCTGGGAAAGTAATCTTTGTCCCTTTCTTCCATCCGGGCTTTATATCAATGGTTAATATCTCTGTTTCTGGAATTGGCCGTCTGCATTTTTTGCCATCATAAAAAAAAAATGCACGTTAGAATAATCGACAATGTTTTATTGATATTCTCCATGAAGCAATTTGTCACAATGACATTGGTTAAAGATAAAAATGTGAAGCAAAGGAAGAAAACCCTCCATGTGAGGTTAAGATAGAACATACTAACCCATTGGCATCCATCACAGTTCTTGAGATCTTCATTTTCCTTGTAGATCCAGAGTATAACTCTTCCAAACTGCAAGGCAATTTGCTTTCCACAGGTGTTGGCTTCTTTGGCATGTTCCCCCTTTCACTGTATGTTCTAAAATTATTGTCACTTCCACTAAATCCACCAAATGTTCCCCCTCCATCAGATTGGAATCTCTTGGACTTCCCTGGTCCAGATAATCCAAATCCAAAAGGGCTACTTGCAAAGAATTCTGCAAAAATGTCCTCTGCATTTCTGGGATTAAACCCACTTGATGGTTCATTACCAGGTGGTGGCCTATCTTTCAACCCTTCCTCTCCATCCTGATCATAAATCACCTTTTTCTGAGGATCGCTCAATACCTGAATTGACAATATTTTCTCAAAATTTCTCCAAGGCCAACCCCATAAATCTCAAACTTGCCAGTTAACAATGCACTATTAAAATTGTAGACGCCTATAATTAGAGGGAAAACTTGCATCAAACTGAAAATGGTACTTCTGGATTATGTTCTAGCATTATACAAGACAAGAAATAATAGGGTTACTTTTTTTTTCTTTTTTCTTTCAGCATGGATGTGGGATATGGGAACTCAATCTCAAGTAATGTTGATGGAAGTACTAATTACTGAGTGTCATGAACTTTCCATTTCTTTAGAAGAAGTTCACATATATTAGAGCAGTTTTGCCCAATAAAACACCTACTGAAGTTCTTTTCCATCATTCATTTTATCATCATACTACTGTTATTTATTGCCATTTCATTTTTCTACCACGAATATAAAATCATTGATTTGCCTATCTATAGTCCAGGGGTTATTTAAGTGTGATGATTCCCACATTGATTGGTAATGCACAAGTGAAGTTCATGTAAGTGGGAGAACCCATGAATCCAAGGTACTCAACCTGTCTCCTAGCCAAACACCTGATTACCCGGAAAATAACTCAATTTTGATACTACTGTTACGGGGGGAATATCATGTCACCAAGGTATTCCTAACCTTTAAAGAATAAATTACGTGTAAAAAGAAACAGAGAGCTGAAAAGTTGTTTGTCCTTTCTTTCCTTCTTTCTTTTATCTTCCCTATTCCCACCAATCAAATCATTTCATGTGTTATTATAATTCCAGTCACTAAACAGACACCAATAAAGAAAACGCAAGACAAAGAAAAATATTTAAAAAGAAAGAAAAAAGAGAATAATTTGTTACCTCATAGGCCTCAGAGATCTGCTTGAACTTGGCTTCAGCTTCTTTTTTGTTGGTGGGGTTCTTGTCAGGATGCCATTTCATGGCCAACTTTCTATATGCTTTCTTCAAATCATCCTCCGTAGCATTTCTGTCAACCTTCAATATATTGTAGTAATCCACACCCATTTTTCTTTTTTAATTTTTCAGAAAAAAAATCTGAATCTTGCAAATGTTACAATCGGATTCCAAAATACCAAATCTTCAAATTTAGACTCGTTTCATGGACACCCAGATCATGAAATCATTCATTCTTCCTGAAAAGTTAAAAACTTCCTTCGGAAGGTACATTGAAGATGAAGTGCCATGAAAGTTGAAAAGAAAAGCGATCAACAGGGCAAACAAGAATTGCTCAAATCAAATGACAACAATTCAGAAATTCTGGAAATTGAGAAAAGACTTTGAATTCAGCGCCACGCTGGTAAGTGCGTGGATTCTTATCTTTTCAAGAAAACAAGAACTTGATGAATTTAAACGGAAAATTTTGGATCATTGAAAATAATAATAACCGAGAGAAACGGGAAATATATATATATATATATATATATATATATATATATATATATGGGTCAGGATCATTCTCCGTTAATCTCACTTATATCTAAAGGTTCAAATTGGTTCAAATTTTTTAGTAATGTGAGCCATCATTTGATAGAAGTGGATCAATGGTAGATTGAGTGTAAAACTTCTAACTGTCCCTATATATATATATATATATATAGGGTAAATATTTCTCCAGCCACTTTAGATAAGCTTATCTGCACCTACCTATTTATAACTATTATATAACATTAAAGTTGCTTTTTTTCTCTCTCCTCATTTACTTTTCAGAACCTGTCTGCTAACGGAGAGAGAGAAAAAAGCAACTTTAATATTATAACTATGTTCTCCCGGGAGAACATAGTTATAAATGGGTAGGTGTAGATAAGCTTATCTAAGGTGGCTGTAGAAATATTTTTTCCACATATATATAGGGTCAGAATCATTTTACACTAATCTTGTCCGCTGATTTCACTTATATCTAAGGGTTCAATTTTTTTAATAATGTGAGCCATTGGATACAAGTGGATCAATAGTCAAGATTGAGTGTAAGACTTCTAACTCTTACCGGTGTAAGAATATCTGCCCCATATATATATATATATATATATATATATATATATATATATATATATATATATATATATAGGATCCTTTGACACCGGTGTCAAATTTGAAATTTGACATCTTATCTGATAGCCGTTAGATAAAAAAAGATCAATGGTGTCACATGCTTACAAATGATAATCGTTGATCTTTTTTTATCTAACGGCTATCAAATGAGGTGTCAAATTTCAAATTTGACACCGGTGTCAAAGGATCCTACCTCGTGTATATATATATATATATATATATATATATATATATTTCAGTTGGTTGTCGGATGGTATATAAATTCTGTTTTCCTCTTGCTGATTGCATGCTTTTTTACATCATACACCCTACAAAGTAGCTCAAAAAAATAGTTTCATGGTTTTCACGATTATCTATTGCATGTGATATTTGTGAATAAATAAATATTTAAGAAAAATTAAAGAACTATATACCGTAAAAAATAAAAATGAAAACATATACTAAACACACGATTCTTCCTATATTGATTTTTTGGTAATCTTTTGAGATAACATAAAGCTCGTGTAGCAGTTTCTCACTGAGCTTCATGAGGACTTTGCATATATTATTAGGAAAGAACATGCACTACATAACACAACCCTAGGTACATACATGATAGTCAAATAAATTAACAAGGGTATGATTATACATAGACACCCTGTGTCCATGACTAGTTTGATAATTTTGTTCGAAATTGAGCATACAGAGGTTATTTTCCATGTAATAATTCATGTGGTGTTTTTTCCACAACAAATTAGTTGCCATAAGATTTATTATATATGCCGCTATAAAAATACACTCACCCCAAAAACAAATGATATAAATGAGCATGAAATCGCAATGCTCGTCTATGTTTGGTGCTTCTTTTTTTTCCACCGACCATTCTGTTACGGATTATTAGTGATAAAAGTCTGAAAATCAATGTCATTATCAAGAAAATACATCTTCAATTTAAACAAGTAAATTTTGTGCCATTATTGCCCCGTACTTCCTACTCTCGTTTATGAAAGTATGTTTCTTTCCATGATACAGAATTGCTACACTCCTCTGTAGTAGTTGTCCACAATAGTTAGGAAATAATGAGCACCTCAAGAATAAGGTGGACTATATATGGTCCAAATAAATCATTAAGTGCATTGAGACTAATCGAAAAAAACTTCAGGAGTTTATTGAGCATCACTTATGTCTTATCGACTTTAATTTTTTAATTACATAAACCTTCGATACAAATGAATTAATAGTCAAGAATAAGTCTTATTCTTAAATCAATGTAAGAATAATATGCCCCACACATACATAATATATATAAATTTAGTGTTCCTACGAGATAAATCATCTCCTAAAATCTTAAAATGATATCATTTTTAAGTTTGTTTTGAGAAAACTTATGTTGCAAGAGAAACAAAATTTTCACTTAGCACTTTTCCTACAGACTCTCGTCTTTAAAGGTAATGTAAAATGGTTGGTTTGGATCAACCAACTCCTATTGACTCAACACTTTTTTTTTTTTTTTTTTGGAGTGGATGCTCTTATGTTAAATTTTATATGACATGTTGCTGAAAATTTTATATTTATTTCTCTTCATTAACATTAAATAAATAATTAAATATGGTCCAATTAAAATTTCATAAAGAAAAAAATAGATACAATATTTTCAAATGACTAAGTTATGTAAAATTTTAATATGAAAGGATTTATTTCCTCTCTTTTTTAATTATTCTTCCTTTGCAAATATATATTATTGCGTTGAGTTTAGTTCTTCCTAGGACACCTTAGCTAACAAACTGCTTAGTAAAATTGTTAAATTATTGTTGACTAAGTTAGTCTTTATTTGTTTTACTTACTTAATATATTTAAAGGCTAAGAATATTAATTGTAAATAATTTATTCAAAATAATTTATATTAATGATTTAAAATAGATGATAATTTATTTTCAAATTATATAGACAATTTTTTAAAAAATATTATGATAATTATAATGACACTTTTAAACTTACATCATATTGGAATGATCAATGTCGATTAAATTTATTTTTATTTTAGTTTTATAAATTTAACTCACAATCTTTATTTAATTATTTGTGTTCGGTTCTTTTTGACGCCCTTAAAATTGAATTATTATTTTAGATAAATAAGTAAATAGAAAATTGATTTTCTCGCTTAAATAAGAGAGTGACATCACTTTTTTTTTTTTTTTTTTTTTAAAAATATATTAAATTAATATGATAAGTTATATAAATACCTTATGATAACTTCAAATATAATTTTATTTTTAAACATTAAATGATGAACGGAATAACAATAAAATATAATATTAAAGTTTAAATATTGGGGGAGGTTATATTTATTATCTTTTTTTCTTATTACTCCTTACTACCAATAAATCAATTAATAAGTGTGACACAATAAATTATAATCATTAGATTGACGGAAATCAACGGTTAAGATTTAATAGTAAGAGATAGTAAGTATAAACATTACGCTTAAATTTTTATGATAAAATGATGAAGTATATTCCTTTAGTTGATAAGGGAAAAGAATGGAAATGAAATTAATAAATAATAAGTTGATTGTATTTAATAAGGTAAAATTACAATATTAAATGACAGAAGATAAAACAAATTTACCAATTTTATCAAATTCCTTTGCATTTTACCATGTTTGAAGATGTCTTTACTATCAATCTAGTAAGTGAAATAATTAGCAAATTGATGTAATGAGATTCAAGATGGACCGAAATTTCAAAAAATTGGAAGTATTGTGTTTGATATTTTTCAACACTTCAACATGTGTTATAAAGACTCAAAAAAAGGCTTAAAAGTTGCATTGTATTGCATCTTTAGTTTCATTAGATTCGTTAAATTATAATTACTATTTTGTTGAGTTTAATATAAATATTTAAGATATTTTGTTTACAAAATTAATAAGTATTATAAATTTAACAAAAAAATTAAATATAATATATAAATTAAACATATTATTTAATATTAAAGTATATCTTAATATATATTACCAAAAAAAAAGGATATCTTAATATATTAAAATTTAATGCATCGTATCATGTTATTAGAGTAATAAAACAAAGTGTTGAAAGTGAGATAATGTTACAGTGGTGAGCGGTGTGGATGATAGAACTGAGAGCTTCTTCTTTGAAGTACCAATGGTTTTACACTCTTTCTTCTTCCCCACTCCTACTTTGCTTCCTAATAAGCTTATCTTCAGGTATGTCTACTACCCTTTTCAATATTATTTACTTTTTCTTCTATATATCATTTGTTTCTAAAACTTTACAATACAACTATATATGTTCATCAGAAACAATAGCAGGGTAATCCTTAACCAAAAGAAATGTCCATTATCCGAGGAAAGACCACACTTTTCATGTTCTGCTCTAAAACCCACTTCCCAAAATAGGATTTTGAGAAGGGATTTGGGGCTGCTGTTAGGCCTTACTTCGGTCTCTCTAACATGGCCATTTTCTGGTATCTCTTTCTTTCTCTCTCTCTCGCTCTCTTGCATTCTCTGAGTAATTTTGGTGTTTGTTGAAAAAAGATAAGAACGCATGTTGATGTTGGATTTTCTTGGAGCAAGTGAAAATGCTTCTAATATATGCACCCCACCCCCCACTTTCTTTCATTTTCTATGCGTTTTAACATGTGGTAGAATTGAGACATGTTTGCTTTATTATTATTCTTTCCCTTGTGCCTCTCAACTCTTATTCTGTCTTGCAGTGACTCTTGCTGAAGAAGAGCTGAAAATGGCTTCATTTGTAGATGAAATAAATGCCTATTCTTATCTGTACCCTGTTGAGTTTCCGTCTAAGAAATTTGTCTTCAAATGGTATGCCAAGTACATACATTTTATGTATTCATTTATTCATAGTAATTAACATGATAAGGGACAGTTTCAACTTTCAACCTTACCAAATGTTTTTTTACCTATTTAACAGAGTCAGTATTATGTTCAGTGAACATCTTGACTCAATGGATTAACATTTAGTGCTAGTGCATTTATCAGACTATAATTGGTTTACAACTTCACTTGTTTCCCGGAATTTTTCCTTGATTATTTTCTTTCTTTGTTTGAAAGAGATCCTTAGATTGTAGGAAGCTAACTCTTTTCATATCTTTAAAGGGTAGAGTCCCGAAGGCCGGAGCGATATTCATCAGCTGCACCACTTTCTCGTAAGATTTGTTGTTTTCTTTTGCAAGGCAAAAGTTTATCTTATCAAAAAATTTCAGAATTCAGGTTGTTTCATCGCGAACTTGTTATCACTGCCATTGAAATTTTATAATATCAGCTCTTTCGTTGTGCATCAAAATATCTGAAATACAGTAGGTTGTCACTAGTCAATACTGATCTTGTGCATAATGACATTGGATGATTGCTTTGTAATTTTCCTTTTCTGGATGAAAATTGAGCTGTAAATTCCATACAGCTGATGCACGCCTGCGTATTGTGTCTGAGCGTGTTGATATCATTGATAATCTCATCATTTCTGTCATGGTATTTTCTCAACCTCATACTTGTTGCATGGAGTTTTAGTTATCTATTCAAAGCTTTACCAGTATTTTATATTAAATTCAGATAGGTCCACCAAATACAACCTTTATAAAATCAAAGGATAAGAGCGAATGGACTGCAAAAGATGTTGCTGATTCAGTTTTATCTGACAAATCTGCACTGGTAACTCATCACTCCTTCATTACTCATGGATTTTTTGTGCTCATGCTATTCTTATTGGAAACAAAATTCATGCTTATTGGAATTAATTCTAACCACAAGCAACAGCTACTGTTGCTCCAAGTATTATTTAAAATTCAGATATTTAGTCATCACTCATCACTCACTAGAGGTTATCTCTATCTGGAAACCTAGGAGAACCAGATAAGCCATGGTAATATGGTCACATAAATGCTGGATGACGGGTAAAACTTTTTAAGATAGAAGGTATATAGCATGTCATATTAATCTTCTCTGTTTCGAGGATTTTCACAGGCCAGAGTCGACAACGGTGCTCCACATGGTTAAAATATAGTTGACTCTGCTTTATAGCTTAAGCTTTGTAGTTAGAAGTTTTAACATAACATCGGGGGTTTTTCGTTTTTGCTTGCGAAATCCACGTGCAAACATACTTTATTGTTGTTAGATCTCAGTGGTTACCATTTATATAGTTGGGTATGTAGGCTGGAGGAAGTGAGATGATAGTTTCACCATGTGCAGATTGACATCCTATAACTATTTAAAAATTAGTAACCTTTCTAAGCCAATAGCTTTTTGATTGTCATATTTAAAATGTCTCGTACTGCTAGAGATCAATATGAATTCTAATGGATTATTTGAGCACTTATCTGTGCAAGGTTATCAGACCTTTTTGAGATTATTGTTTAGACAGGAATATCATCCAACTATGTGCATCACAAAGTTGCTTTGCCTGTGATCTGTGTTGAAAATCCTTCAAAATTTATTTCTGATATTTCAACATTTTGCAGCGAGTTACCTCAAGTCAGCGCTTAGCTGAGAGTTCAGTTCTCGATACACACTCTGGTGAAGTAAGCTTCATGAATAATCTTTATTTCTTGGTTGCCAATATTTGATGGATGTTGTTATAAGGAGTCGGGGGAAAAAAAAAACATGTATATGAACATGTGGCATCAAATATATATCTGATGATTAAATGTATTAAATGTAAACAGATATCTTCAAATAAGAAGAGGAAAATATCCAAACACGTATCTATTTGTTAATGATATTGGATACTCCAGGAATTAAAAATTGTGACTACATTTACATTTTACATATTTAAGTTGATGTTTATGCATAGTGGAGCTTATCTGTCGGTCTCTCCACAGATTGATGGTGAGCCTTACTGGTATTATGAATACCTTGTTCGCAAATCGCCCACGAAAACTGTAAGTATTTCCTTTTGGTACATTTTTTCATGGAAAGATGTGGTATATGTGATGGTTACTTTTGATTTGTAAATCATATTGTACAGGCCCAAGATTCAAACATTTTCCGGCACTATCTTGCTTCAACAGCTGAAAGAGATGGTATATCGTCTCTCTTTTACTACTTTTGTATTCCAAACATGAATATGTAGATTATTTCTAACTTGCAATTCTAATACGAGACTGTCCTCTGCATATTCATACAAAGTGCTTGAACTTGTTGGAAATGATTTTGTTCTCTTTTCCACTTCTCCCATTCAATGAGAGCCATGCTTGATCCAAAGAAAAAAATAATAATATTTGTATCTGCCCCTTTATATTTTTATGAGATCGTTAATGAGCTAATTCACATGCCATTGTTTCTTTTCATGCTACTTCAGAGATTTTCATTTCATACAAAGTTATATTTTCTTTCAAGTTATATCTCATCTGCTATTGCTATGCGCTTGATTGCAGGTTATTTGTACTCTGTCAGTGCTTCGACCCTTAGCCCACAGTGGAAAAAAGTACTCTCTCTCTCTCTCTCATGTTGTTTGCGTTTGTGCTCATACACACTCATCTAAATGATTATATATGAACCAGGAGAACCAGCATTAAAACATAATTAGCAATGGAAATTCAAAATATCTTGTACTTCCTTTATATGCCACTTCACCAACAACTCGAGTAGTTTGTTTTGTATGTGTGACAGAGATGTCTAGCCTAAGGTTAGTAGGTCAATATGGGACCGAACTCTCTCTCTAAGGTATCTATGAAGCAAATACCTAGAGATGGAATACACAACTAATAACGGCATAAGCCAATGGGGTGGTATGTATACACAATGACAGCATAACAGTAATAGAAAGAGATTAGGTCATACTTGTAGGTTTTACCTCCTATTTATAGAGTTGTACCTGTGGATATATGAGTTCTGGGTCTTCTATTCATAAGCCCAATTGTTCTCTTGCACAGCTATCATGTAATTTCCCTTTGTTGGGCCTTTAGATATATGGGCCTTATGTAGGTCCGTAACATAGTTATTTGTTTTTTTGTTTTTAGAAAAGAACAAAAGAAGATAATTATTCATCCATCAAAGGGATTGTAGAACCTGAAAATTAATGGCAAAGTGAATTTTTTTTTCTTTTTTTCTTTTTCGAAAAAACAGTATGATATGTTTAAATGAGGTATCAAAAGTAAATGGTTTGATTTTTGCCGAAATTCATGAATCAGTTGAAGATTTACAGATGTATATGAAATATTCAATTTTCACTTTATGGTTTTTAAGGCATGCTGTCATTTTCTAGCAGTAATTAAACTTAGTACTAAGAATGAAATTCTAATTAGATTTTTTTTTATCTCGCTCTGAGTAAATGTCACAATATATTTGATGCAGATTGGGCCTTTCCTTCAAAAAACAGTGAGTTCGTTCCGTCTTGCCAGCCCAACAGAAAATTATGTTCCTCCATACAAAGATCCCTGGAGATTTTGGTGAAACCTCAAATTTTGTTTTTATGGTATTCATGTTATAAGTTTTGTGGGGTAAAATTTATGTAATCATTTAATATTCTTTGAGGAAAGAAAATTGAAATGGTATCTCATCTTTGGGTTATCTCGTAATTGTAAAATTGAAAGGGAATAATGATCTGCCCTTTTAATTTGGCAGAGTGAAGTGGCAGGTCACTTAAATGAGGTGGATGAGTATTTTAAGCTTTTTTAAAATTCTATTTGAGCTTTAATTTCATGTCTGTATGTCGTATTAATATTTTATGAAGAGGTTATTGTTACAACTTAAAAATTGTACAACCTCTTACAATATATTTTTTTCAATGTTGATTTTCATTAATTCAACGATTATGATTTATTCATATTTATTAATTAATTATAATTTTTAATAAATTATAACGGTTGAATTGACGAAAATCAACAATTAAAAAATAAACTGTAAAAAGTTGTAAAACTTTTGGATGGTAAGAATTAGGAATGGCAAAGTGGGCGGCCCGCTCCGCCATCAACCCGCCAAAAAATGAGTCAGCCCGTCCCGTCCCGCTTTTGAAAGTGGGCTGAAAAGCTCTGCCCGCCCCGTCCGTTTGGCGTGTTGGCCCGCCAGCTCGAGCTTATTTTACACTGACCCGCCTATGCCCGTCATCAACCCGTCAAAAAATGAGCCCACCCCACCCTGCCCCGCCCCGCCCCACTTTTGAGACAGGTTGAAAAACTGAACTCGCCCCGCCCCGTTTAGCTGGTGGGGCGAGTTGGCTCGCTGAGTCGAGCCCGTTTTGCCATCGAATAATGTTTCTCATATTTTATAAACAAAATAAGGTTAAATGGAGTTGCAACTAAACAGTAATGGCAGTGGAAACAAAAAGACATTTATTTCGTTACAAAACACAGCTTTCCATCTTTATTTCATTTAGCATTGATCTCTAACAATAGGATTCGATGGTTCTGACTTCTGGGGCTGAAAGAAACACCACCACTCTCACACAGCTAAACTTCATCCATCTGTCATCCTACTTAATCGTGCTATACTTTCATTCATTAATATTGAATTTCTATACAAAACAAAAGCTGGACTATTCATGAATTTAGCATATACCCTATTAACAAGCTCAATCTGAGCGAAAGAATAATATGCATCTACACTACTTTTACACATACAAAGTGTACCCACAAAAATTCCCTTTTCCTTTAAACAAAATATGATGGGAATGTATTTGAGCTGATTTTACCAAAGATAAAGATCAATTTTCAAGACAATTAATTGCTGAGAACAATATAGTAAAAAGAAGCTGCAGATGTAATTTGGATGGAAGTTAATCAATCCTGAGATGTGGCAAAATATGCGGAAAGACTGCCTTTGGAAGGCACGTACTGTAGGCTCAGATGCAGGCGACTAGTAAGTTGATAGCTCAAGGTCCACTGCATTGCCATCTCTGAATCCTTCATTTCCCTAACGATTGTTGCCTGGAAGAAAAACAGTTGCTTCTTTAGATAATAATAAGCTTACCAGTGAGTAACAGTAGAACCTACGGACTCAACAATGAAAGGATCTGGTAACTAATGGATGCTTCTACATGTGACGTGGCAGCAACTAGATGATATGCTAACTACTTCAGGATGTTTGGTTATTGAAAAATGAAAACCAAACATGTCCTCATGAATGAATGACAATCCACTTGTCAGAAAAAAAGATGAAGAACGATACAGCCGATATCCAACAAGATAATATTCAGGGAATATTACCAAAAAATTTGTGAAAAAAAAAATGTTTCTAGTTTAGGAATGGTTAATTACTCATTAAGTTAATGATGTTTAAACTCCAAATTGCGGTTAATGAGTAACCACTTATTGTAACTAAACAATATTTTTATCAAGAAACTTCCTAAAGAAATTTTATAAACAATATTTTCCATCTATTGGTACAGATTTGTTTGTTGTCAAAAGAAGTCGACTGAAATTAATAGTAACCAAGATCTTGAGAAGCAAAATATTGAAAGATACACTAATTTGATTATGATTACCTGAAGACGTTTCCCAAGCTGGACTTCAACTTCAGTGACAAATGATATATTACTAGCAAATAACCTGAAAGGATCTACAGGATCAGCAGAAACCGAACTGGGAATATGAGGAGCGTACACTACCCTAAACCTAGCTTGGCCAAACTCTCCCTTCCCTTCAATTCGTGGCATTAACTTTTCAAGAGTAGCAGTTGCAAGCTTTTCAAATGCAAGTTGACCATTGCCTCCAAAAATGGATTTTGCTAACTGACTCTCAAATTTTCTGGCAGTCTGCATAGGTAGAAACAATTAATATGACCATGCTTCCTGAAGATCAGATCATGAGAGCATTGATCTTTCACAAATGAAACTATTAACTTACTTCACAAAGTAAAATTAGTTATAGAACTTTTAGATCCAGCAGCACAAGGAGATTTTATGTGACCATAACACAGTGAATCTGTTAATATTGGACACAATGGTCCAAAAGTTACCTTTGTTTTAAGGGGGGATTTTTAGAGCTTAATCAGCTTGAGGACCTAATCCAACACTAACAAGACCGGACCAATTAATACTAAACCCTAAACACAAAATGGAGGTTATTGGACCAACAGTTCCAAAAATGACCACAACTATTATGTGACAATAATTATATGCTCAAGTTAGTTCATATATCACAAAAATAATCATACAATCATGATAGTTCATTCTTTTATTAATGGTTGTGAGATGAGTTAAATTGTTATCTTGTCATTGAGAATGCTTGTGTTTGATTTATTTTATGTGTCCAGGCAGACCAAAATTTACAAAGCCCAAAATAAAAAAAAAAATCAAAGCTTAGCAGTCAGACCAGAAGGAAACAGGAGTCTCCTAGAACAGAAAGAGAAAGAAGCCTGACATCAAAAAACATTGAAGTGCAAATGAAGATATTGGAAGGCTAATTCATGTAAGTTTATATTTCCCCCTTGCATTTTTTTGGTAGATCGAAATGACAGCCAAACTTACAGGGCAAGTGTAGCTCATCAAAAAGATTAGCATACATGTGTGCTTTATTTGTGTTGTGTTTGACAATGGCAACACATATTACAGTTGAACACCGGACTGAAGTTTTGAGCTCCAAATTGATGAAGCAAGATAACAGAGAGCAATATCTTTTACCTCAGTAGGTGATAGCGCATCCTGTTCTACAGAATGTGTTGAGGTCACCACAAGTTTGTCCTGCCAATTGCTAGCTCGACTTTGAATTCTAAATTGCCACTCAGATCCAACCAATGCTAAATCAAGCATTGGATCTAATCCGTACTCAGGCTCAAACTTTGCAATATTTGGATGCTCCCGTTTTAACCTCACCTGTATTTGAAATGGATTTTATCAACATAAACAATGGGTTAAGAAAGTTACAAGCCAAACCAAAAATACCACTAGCCTAGAAGAAACTGCTGGTTATAGTTTACAAGAGTTGCAAAATAAACATTACACAAACCTGTGTTGCAACTAGATCAACTTCACCATTCTCGAATGCCAGTATGCCCCTAGGTTTTATACACTTGGGATGGGCGAGACCATTCAACTCAAGCTCTCCACTAACAGCAAAATTAAGAATCAAAGGATAAACTATCTTCAACTCTGGTCCAAGCACAAGCTTCAAATCACAAAGGCGGATTTCTATACTTGGTTTTATCTGCACTTGCTCTGTGTCCTTTTCAACTTGAGTTGACTCATTGACTGCCATGTGGTTTTTTTTTTTGGAAGAAAAATATCATAATATAACCAATAAAAGCCATTCGGAAAATATAACATAATGAACTCAACTAATCAATCAACAACATAAGCACATGTATAAGATCAAGCAATCAAAAGATTGATCCTGGCATCTCCTAAAGTGTATAATGAAATAAATGCCACAGCAAAAAAAAAAGTCGACAGTACTTTTTTTTTGGGTCTAGACTGCAATACTTGGTAGAACTATTACTTTTTTTTTTTTATTTACTTATGCAGCAATTTGGTGCCTTTGGTTGGAGAGCAATGTCATAATTTGCAAGGATAGTTTCTTCCCAATTCTGCTTCTTCTTCTTTTTCGGTTCAATAGAAAAAAAAAATAATTAAGAAAGCAGAGAAATACAAAGACAGGAGGATAAGATAACCTCCACCAGAAAATTACAAAAAAGAAAAGAAAAGAAAAGAAAATTACATTGAACCAACAAAACAGAACTAAAGAATAACAATGGACAATGGCAGCTCAGTCTCTACTTAAACTAGAAAAGGCAACACCCTCAAAATAAGACCATGAGCTGACCACCAAAGAGAAGCCAAATAGCCTTATTCTATCCCAAAACAATTCTCCAACTTAGAAATTTTCATCTATTAGGTTTAGAGGTTTTAAGTTTTAACAGCAATTAGGAGTGCTAAATGTTGTTGAGTTGTCCTCTTTTATCTAGATTTGTACATTGTGATCTTCAACCAGAGATCTTTATCTGCCTGTCTTTGGGATATGCTTGATTTCCTAGTTTCTTTGTCAGTTTTGGTTCATTGGTGTTTTAGATGGTTTTATTTATCGGACACGCAAAGGATTGGGATCCCTCTCATGAGTTGATTATTCCTTTCTTTCCACTTGTTTGGTTCTTTTTCTTTTCTTGAGGAGTATCAGGGATCTTCCGGTGCTGTATTTCTTTCATCTGAAGTACAATCTTCTTTTATCAAAACACAATATGGCGTGTGTAAATAAATAGATGTAACTTTATCCTCTAGAGTTCCTGTTTTTTTTTTTAATTGATCCTCTGTTTCTTTCCTCAGCCTTCATAAATTTCCATCATAGCCCTTTTATTTCTTATTAAGAACAAGTAAAAGCATGTCTATAATGTTGTATCAAATTGATATTTTAATTGGTAAATGCAAACTAATATTAAATTTAAACATGTTAATTGCACGCTATCATCCTAAAGTATTATGACTGTGAAGACTGAAGATTACTATCTAAGAGCTATGATCATGGTAGTTACCTTTGACATCATTATAATTTATGACATATAACACTTACCAAGTTCATAGTTAGTTAGTTAAACAAGAATAAAACGGACAGCATTGTACGTGCATGATTTAGATTGAATATGTGTGTCAATGCAGAAATCCAGAGGCAACTCTAGTGTTGTAGAAACGGGCACGAGAACTTGTTTTACAATAATAAAGAAGTCAATTTTAATTTTAGAGCATTATTATTAGGAAATGGCAGAAGACCACATGCTAAACCGATCAACATGTAAAGTATTACCAGAGCCAGAGGATTGAGAAATTTTAGTCGTCGAAGAAGCAGGTTCTGAGCCGAAATACCGCGAAATATATCTCGAAGCAAATGCTTGCCCAGCACCACCAGTAGGAAGCTCAGACTGATTTGACGGGAATCTATTAGAAGCACCACCACCACCCCTATCATGTGGCAAATATGCTTCTCCATGACTAAGTTTAATATTCCCAAAAATGTTTGGTTGTAATATGGAACCAGTTATTTGCAGTTGGGAGTCGACCTGGCCACTGAGAAAAGTAAAATGTTGGTTTTAATAAGAATAAGAATAATGTATAGACAAAAAAGAAAAAGTTACATTGCCAAAAGTCAAAAATATTTATGATTTAATGGTCACATCAGCTACATCCACCCATGAATAAGTAAAGACATAACCTATATAATTAAATTAAGAAAGCAACCTTAAAATATTTTTCGCCCATACTTCCAGAGCTTCACACTTCAACTCAATCTTGTCGTCAAGGGCTGCTTCACTAGTTCTGAGAGGAAGGTTCCCTTTCACAAGCAGCTTTCCTTTCCTGCTTAGTCTACTCTCCAGTGAGGTGACAGATAACCTGTTTGATTTCACATGAACAGTTCCCCCAAAGTTGGTTAATGGCTTTCGGAATACTGGTGACGATATAGATGCCCTGTGGAACGATGCACATCCATTAAGCACTGGTTGATCAACTGTACCTCTGACCTATTAAATCAATCAGATTGACAACACTCAGAAGAATGTAAAATAAAAAATTATTTGACAAAATTCTATTGACCTCACCCACCTCAAGCATGACATCAGCATTGCCATGAAGCCAATTGGCATAAGGAGATAAAGCTGTTACTAGCATCATTCCCCCATCTTTTATATCAGCATCAACCCTGACTTCTCCAACATCTAAAATTTGCCAATTTAAACCTTTAAGGCTTTCTGTCAATTGAGTATTCCAACCTTCTTCATTTCTGTCTCTAGAAACTATTTTGTCGCTGGCATCATCGGTGGTCCCTCTATTCTTCTCCTTCACCCAATCAGGAACCCAGGTAGCCCCATTCTTATCCAATTCAACATCTTGTTGTGACATGTTATTTTGAACAAAAGTAACAGGAATACTTCCTTGAATTAGTACATGACCATTTTGGATTACAGGTTCAAATTTTGCATTGAATAGAAAACGACTGGTTGAGGTTAGAGAAGCAACAACTTCTGCTCGTCCAAGATCAATTCCACCAATGGAACCATCCAGGAGCCTTACTTGTACATCACATTCTGGTTTTGCTAAACTTCCTCTAAGATCTCCTTCCATATGCAATATACCCTTAATGGGTGCTAACAATTGACACAGAGAATGAACAAAATCTGTTGCTGTAGATTCAATGATCTGAACTACAGTTGGGACCAAACTAACAGGAAAATTTAGGACAGCAAAATGAAGGTTGGTTTTAGGCCCTAACAAAGTTCCATCAGCATGAATGGTGGCATTATCCTTCTGGACAAAAATTTTCTCCAGGTGCAGACCATCATCATTACTGTAAGCTCCAACTGCCAAGACACGCTGAGTTTTGTAGTCTCCCCACTCCCAATCCTCCCCATGAAAGTCAAATTCTGCCTGAAATGAAATCGAATAAGAAAAGAAATCTTAAAAAAGTAGATGATTTATACTAACTCCTAGTAATACAATGATAAATTTTTACCAAGGTGTCTCCATTCCCTCCACCACTTGCATCAAGAGAACCATACCAGCGACCTTTGAATTCAGATAAACCAGGTAGACTTAAATCTTCAAGAACAACATCATGTGATGGAGCATGATGACCCTTTATTAACTGCAAGTTGTATACCACCATTAATGACAGACAAAGGAACTTCAATTTTTGCAGTAATATCATTAGGATCATTATATTATGAACAAAGAAATAAACATTACATGCACACTTCATGTTATCAGCATTAAGTATTGTGGCTTTTGAAAGGAAAATAAAAAATAGTGATTCCTTGATAATACCTCAAGCAGCTGTTGAAGGCTTGCAGAATATAATCCCACCGACTGCAAACTTTGAATAAAAAAGTCCTACATACATATGACATGGCAACATGCACAATCAGTATTTTTTCTTAAAAAAATCAGTACTCAGCATGAACTACAGGTTTTTCGATGAAGGATACAATAATAGACATTAGACTATTATCTTTTACTCAATGTCTATATATGTAATAATCAACTGACAGGCATTAAAAAGAATAATCTCGGTAGGAGAAAGATACTTGTTCCAGTAACAATAATTGTAACGAGTATGTAAGGTGAGTATCATAGATGATTATGGTAGGATATTGTTAGAATATTAGATATGATATGATTAGATTTGATTAGATATGATTGGATTCTGTCTTATCCGTAAATAGTCTGACTGTATTCTGATATCAGTTACTGATATCATGTACATACTATAGAATAAGTTAGGATTATGTATATCAGGAAATGTATCATTGTAATTAATTCCCACAGTAATATATGGAGAGACTATGTGTGGTCCGTTACAGACACACAAATTCATCCAATCAGATTTCCCCTCTCAAATTCAAGGAACAGTATAGCACCAGTAAACCTCCAAGAAAACCAATATCACATATACGCAGGCTTGCAGATGATACAATGCAACAACAATCAAGCTTTATCCCAGTAGATGGGGTCAGGTAATTGCAGACAACACAATAACTAAAAAGAAAGAACTGGCAACATTAGATATCTCTCTCAAACCTAACTTGTACTTGATCCAGAGGAAGAAAAAAAAAAACAAGCATTAGGGCAAATCCTGATACACAAGCTTTCCAACTTTGTGAAGATAAAAATGAGGGTCGATTGTATGTAGTTTTACTCTTACATTTATGCAAAGAAGTTGCCTTCCATACTTGAACCCATGACCTTCCAGTCACAATGGAACAACCGCTTCAAGGCATGAAGTACCTAAATTTGAATTTGGCTTAACTTCACTTATATCTTACCTTTCTTTTGAGAAAAATTTCCCCCAGCTGGAGCAAGGAATTTTAAGTACATTCAAATAAACTTGAAACCTTAAAACAGATTAGATAGATTCTATGGCTTTCAAGAGCACCAGATAAACATTGTGGCTAGACTCGTGAATTAATCAACTCGCATGTTATAAAGATAGAGTCATTAGCAACATATCTTGACTGCTTATACTCTGAGAGTTAATTATGACTACATGTAACCATCCAAGACATACAAAGCATAATACAACCTTTGATCTTGAAAGAACAGCAGGATCTGTACTTCGAGAAAGAAATCTAGCAAGAGGAAGCATCTCAGCAACCTCTGCTCTGCGAACTTCAAGTTTCATTCTCCACCTGCCCATTGAGGATATAACACTGCCAAGATGGCCAGACAATAGCCTTTTTAAAAAACCAGCCCCTTTTCTGTCAACAGGGTTACGATCTCGGGTGCCAGGCAACACATATTCACCTTGAAGTTCATAATGACTGTAGCTTTGTTCCAAAACAGTTTTTTCAATAGTGATCTGAACAATAGGGCATCAACTGATAATCAGTATCAAACATAACTTTGTACACAGTTCCAAAACATTTTCACCAGTGCAATATAACCCAAAACATATCATTCTTTACTATGACAAAACATTGGTTTCATAAAATGGTATTATTTGACTTGCAATATAACCAAAAAGGATTTTTGACAACCTAATGTTAACAAGCTTAAGGTTCATCACCGTGGAAGTCATTGAACAGTGGAGATAATTAGATGAGCACCTATATTTTTTGAAAGATTAAAGGGCTATTACAATGATTCAATTATTAAACAATGAGATTCCTGAAATGATTACAACCTGGAAACTTAAAAAAAATGGTAAACAACTAGACAGTTTCTAAAATCATATTGACCATCACAAGTGGCAAACACACCCAGCCACCATATGTTCAAGGTTAACTCTGATCATGGTAAAAAGACTTCTTTATTTGATTCCCAGGATAGCAATAAGTGGGAACTCCAATTCAGATGCAAAAAATAAGATTATCTTAGGCACTCACAACATCTCCACTCCACCTAGCGGCAACATCTAGGGCTTCACCAAGCACACCACTGAATTTTGGCCGAAGTACAGATAGGATTCCATGTCCTCTTCTTTTTTGAAGATTAAGCTGGATTTCTGCCTGAAAAAAAAAAAAAAAAAACTTACTAACAGCTAGAAAACACCATATATTCTTTTCATTACATGACCATTAAATAATGCCTAGATCAAGTCATCATTCAGTCAGGACTGAACAGAAAAAGGGAGAGGTGGAAATAGAAAAGTAAAAATTTGCACATCAGAATTACCCTTCTCGATATTTTATGCTACCCGTCCATCTCTCCTCTATGTGCATCTTACATTGCTTTTTATGCTAGAAATAAGGGAATTCCACCATTTGCTGTTCACTTTCTTTTTCCAAAAAAACCCAGGGTTCATTTGAGTTGCTTAAAAATAAAGGACAGCATAGTACCCAAAAAAATGTACTTTGATTATTAAAATAGTATAAGTAGTAGTCAAAAAGTAATTCAAGCGACAGCACAAATCTCTAAATTTTTGCTACTCACTAAAACAAGTCAGAAAATCTTGTCCGCGGCACAAAAAGAAAAAGACTTATTCTTCATTATCCCAACTCTATTGTGCATAAAACAATATACAACACAAAGGGTATTACAATAAATTTTGTGATATTCCATCCACGAATATAACAAAACATTTAATCTTGTGCATTTGTCATCAAACAGCTAACGACACAAAAAAATCATCCTGTGACTCAATCAATCAACTACTTAAGTTGTACTGTTCTGTTTGTTTTGTCTCTAAATATGCATCAAATGCAATGCTAGAGTTTGACTTTTATTGTAATTGGAAACAACGGACAAAATCATCATCTTAAAATAACCACAAAGTCCATCTCCTACATCCACAACACGAGTATCTGTTCTCGTATTAATAAAAATATTCTGGGCCTTTTTCTAACATCTTTTCCAGGATGTTGGCCTTTTAGAGTATTTATTACTTTCCTTCACTTTCTATCTGGCCCTTAACATGGATTAGAGCCTATTGTTTTGTGTCCATCCTTTAAGCAAGGGGGCATGTCAGATATTAACTAATATTAACCATTGCTTGGCCTTTTCCTAGCAGCTTTAAGATTCTGAGATGGTTATTAACCAATAAGAACCATTGCTTGTCCACAAACCCCATCTTTTACATTCATTCCCTATAAACAATCGAGACTCAAACCTTGAGATGAATTTCGCAAGCGGAACAAAATAGCTAAAACCTTGTCTTATCTCTCAGACATAATCAAGTCAACTCAATCACAATCTAAATGTGAATAGGAGGGTACAGCAAAGGACAAGGATGATAAGTAACAACGAAGTCAAATAGGTAAATATAATGGCTTACCCTCTGTATAGTTCCCCTGAGAGAAGCAAGCTCCAGTTCATCAAGTGGAAAATGCCGTACCTACAAGTACGCCACACAACAAGAAAGAAAAAGAAAAGGAAAAAGAATGATTTTTAACATTAAATTTTGGTCTATATAAAGTGACCCAAAAATATAAAGATAGCTACCTCCAAGCTAGCTGAATGATATGGTTGAAAACCTATGTTAGCCCTCAATTGCCCCTTCTGAAGGGAAATGGACAACAATCGTTCACGTTTCAGACCATCTTCACCACTGTGCTGTAGTGGCCCAACAAACTCCAACGCAAGACTTTCATCAGGCCTACCAGATGCATCCAACTGTGTTCCAATAAAAACTGGAAGTTAGAAAAACTACATATATTAAAAAAAGCCACCCAATCTGAAACTGTCCCCCATAAGGTGGCTAAAACTTGAAGACATAAAATGTCTACCTTTCACAAAATAACACCCGTTAAATAACCATTTGATTGAAATATGGAGACTAAAGGAAAATAATCCCACTCCTTTAGGAATAAGTTATATATATTATACAAAGGAGAAATAAGAAGGAAACCCCCTTCCCCCCGTACACAAGTCTTCTCGGCTTTGCGAGGGTAGGGGTGAGGGTCAATTATACACAGTCTTACCATTACCGCTGCTCCAAGCATCGCCCTCAAAGAAGAAATATGAACGCATAAGAAGATAATTGAAAAGTGGATGAGTTGACCTAGACTACAACTCTCTATTAAAAATCACTTTTCCAAGCTGAGTAAAGTAACAAAAATCATATGCAAAGCAAAGTCCACATAATTGGAAGCAGTACCCAGTTCACAAGGTTCTACTGCTGAAGAACCCATTCATACTCGAGAATAGAATCCTGAACCTTAAATCACAGATTCACCCCGTGGGAATAGAACCAGAGATGTTGCCGATAAAATATCAAACAGTGTCAGAATTTATAGATATTGGATAATGTTGAAGGGAAATACAAAAAGGAAGTCTTGGTAAAAATATTTCTAGCATAGAAACCATTAAATATTTAACCAGCTCAGTCAATAAGTAGTTACTTATTAACCGCTCTTTGAACATTATGAGCCAATTCAGAATCTAACTGCTCATGAATTAGAAATAGTTTCACAAAGAATTTCTTTATTTTTTCCCATACATTAAATCGGCTTTTAGACTCTCATGTTGCTGGACAATTTTTTCTTCTCCTGTGCCATAGATAAATGTGCCATCCCCTTTTTCTTTTTTATTTCTTTTTTAAAAATAGTGGGTCCCACATATTTGTCTCTACAACATAAGATATTTTATCTTATGTAACATAAGATTAATAGGACCCATATTAAATTCAACAATTTTATAGAATCCTTGTCCAGGATACTGTACCGCAAAAAAAAAAAAAAAAAACAAAGAATCCTTGTCCATGATTATACTACAATATGATATTGCAAGCAGTCTGTTAAAGAAATTCATAATATCTCAAAATGAGACATTTTTTAGGAAGAGTTTTATTCATCACCTTGACGCACTCAGGAGAAACACTCAACAACCCAGACAGCTGAGGTGCGAGCATCAATTGATTCAGTTTGAGACCAGAGATTGAAACCTCACCGACAAGACTATCTGCACTTCCTTTCTCCAACAATTGCACATGCTGCCCGTTCTTGTCAAAATTTTGTTCAATAATAGGGCTACTAGGTTCTAAAACCTTTCCCTGAAACTTGATTCTTCCAGTTGCTTTAAAAAGCAAAGGCCTTGGAAAATCCAACATATAAGTAGTAACCAAACTGAAGAATTCAAACCCACGCATTTGCAAATCAAACTCAACACCGTCAACAGTAAATGGAATGGCTCTTGGTGCATAAAACTCCTCGCTTTTAAGAGGCAAATCATCAGAATAAGATGTTTGAACTTTCATATACAAATCAAATGCAGCTGAAGCAGAATTAACAGTAATGAAATCATGTGAGATTACGATATCTCCTCTAGCATCACTAAAAGACCCTTCTGCTGTAGGTGCATTCCATTTTATATCAAACCTCCTGAATAAAAAAAGATAATAAGAAAACAATTTTGATAAAAGAAATCATATTAAAGATGGGAAAGAATTATTTGTTGGAAATTCAATTATGAGTGATGAAGTACTACATTGGTTACGAATGTAAAGAGCAAGAACCATAGAAGTGAAAATATACTAGTTGACTTAAGGTTTTAATTCAAGATGTGGTGTAAAGCGCACTATTGTCGTTTGCCACTTCCCTTACTTACAGGCTCCTTCTGACCACCTAAACTGGTATAAAAAACAATGGTTAGACTGAGCCGAGCATTTGGAGATAGTAATTAGTGGTTGGATTCGATCCTAACCCATGTTGTGGAGCATTGGCCAAGACTATACTCTTAGTTGATGACTTTTGCTTGGGGGGAGCATACTAATATTGAAACTTACACTTGAACTGATGAATGTTGAAAATTCAAATGCAAATGATAAAGTCTCACATTGGTTAAGAATGTGTTAAAGGAGGACCAAGTGAAAACACATATATACCCATTGTCTTATGGTTTTGGGTCAAGATGTGGTGTCAAACCCACTACTATAATTTGTCGCTTAACATACGAGCCAACTTGAAGTATAAGAGATATATTCATAACCAGGTAGGGGAGAAATGCAAAAGCTAATAATATAAATATAGATTATAATAAGCAATAATATTGCTGAATTTTAATAAATAGGAACTAATTATTGAAACCAAAAAAAGGATAATCTTACGGTCTTAAAAGAGATCCTGAAAGTTTTGTCTCTCCATTTAAAACCCCAAATTTGAGTGGCATCTGATGATGATAATTTGGAATATAACAAAGCACCATTTTTTCAAAGGGCAAGCTTCCAGAGAAGTTCACATCTATTGCTGCTTCATCCTCCTCACCCTGAGAACAAAATAATATATATTAGCAGGGAGACTTTATAGAGAAATGGCGGGAAGGCATACAAATGGGAAAAGATATTCGCATTCTGAAGTTCCTTTTAGCCAAACGGATAAAACCTACTATATCGTGAATTGTGAGGGTGCAAATTCCTATCTATTGGTGTGATTATCACTTCTCTGTGTCATATGGATTATGGAAGACATATAAAGCTCATGAGGAGGAACAAATTAGCATCCTTAGCAAACAGCTTACAGAAATGCAAATATTCAGTGATAATACCCCTTCCCCTTGTCCGAAAATAACATAATTTTGCTAATTCTTCCAAGTAGTTTCTCCCCACTCCACCCCCCAAACACACACAAGAAAAATAAAATAAAAAAATAAAGGGTCATAGAGTGAGCATAAACATTGGCAATCCAACATTACATTGACTATGATAATGTTTCTATGTTTTCCACAAAACCAATAAAGAAAGAAATAAAAAAAAGAAAACAAAAATAATAACTATTTCCTCAATATAAGCAAGCTATCTCAAGGCCAAGAAAAAAATATCACGCTTTCTAATAGTTTAAAGGTAGCTATATACCTCTGGGCATATCCATGCAGTCCCAGCCCCTCGAATTTCACCACCATCCACAAGGCTTGCCCTAATTCCATATAAATCGGCAACCTGTGCTATGCAGTGTGAGTGTTACTAGAATATAACATAACACTTAAAACAATGAGTCACTACTCTGAACCACCCTATGCAAAATTATTACCACTTTCAACTTACACAGTTATCAGTGTTGAAAGTGAAATTGGCAGATACATATGAAAATGGTACACGATCAAATGCTGCCAGTGCACCAGACTCTTTACTTTTAGCAAGTGCTTCAGATGCTACAGACGCAGGAGAGTCAACATGTATAGAAGAGAATGTCCTAGAAACCATTCCAGTGCCCACAAATATAGGATTATCCAGTGGGCCTTGACAATTAAACAGAGCAGTTACTGATCCTGCTATCTGCAATCAATAAACCTTAATTATGAAAAAAGAAACGAGAAATACAAGTACTGATATTGGATAAGCTAATATCACATTTTTGAGGAAAGAAACATGACATTGACCTCGGGCTTGTGTCATGTCTTACAAATTTCAAAAATCTACAGTGCCACCCTTATAGTAAGTCATAGATAGATTATTAGTATTTTTTAAAAATCTAAACTAAATTTTATCAAAAGCTGGCTCAATAGCTATCATATCAGGTATAACGGGTATGAAGAAAAGATGGAACTGCATTTTCAAATCAGAAAGAAACAAAGAAGCAAAATGAAAGAATTTTATGAATGTGTAAAATGAAAACTTGATTAAAACTAATATGTTCCTATTATCAAATTTAAAAAATTACACGATACAAAAAAGAAAATGATAAAGGAAGATGAAAATGGTCACTTCACTCAACTTTAAAATATTAATTATTGCACTGAACTCAAGAAAACATACAGGGAACAAGAGAGGTCTCATCCTGAAAGTTCTCATCAAGGCATTCACTTCAACACCAGGAACCTGGAAATTTGATCATACAAAGTATTAGAGGGCAGACTGAAAAAATTCCAACTGTCTTTTCATGAAACTCAATGAGATATGGAATATGTGAAATGAACTGTAAATAATCTTTCTATTGGACTGAGAATTTACCACATTCTCTCATTGAATAGCTATACAAGCAATATCAACTGCAGTTTTTGAACATCAGATAAGGGTGGACAATGTTCACTTTACATCACATGGCTCATTCAAATTCAGCTTTCAACAGCGACATATATTGGGATGTGTGAATGGTTCCAACTATCTGACATGAACTTGTATCAGGTATGCAATATGAAGAACTTCACTTTTGATTCTATAGGAAATTCAGATTTTCTAAATTAAAATTGTTAAGACAATGCTTAAGGTCTTATGATAGTTGGTTCCTTGACATAGCATCAAAGCTTCCACCATGTAATCAAAAGTTAAATACTTTCTGCCACTTGTCTTCATAATTTATTTTCAGTGCATACTAAGGTGGGCCCATGCTTATCCATGATTCAAGCCCAAAGGCTTTTCTATGATGGGCATCAAGGAATAGCTTAAGCCCAACTAACCAAGGTAGTTGGTTGACTTGATTCTTGATGGAAATCACACTTGCAAATAAGTCTATAGTGACTCCAAATTACAGTAAGATTTTCCAATCATTCATGAAATATTCTTTCCAACATTCAAAGAAGACTTCTTGAAATAATTGCTTAGTTAGACAGACCTAATAATTTGAAACAACACTTAGAAAAGCAAAAATTATATTTGACCAAGCCTAGAGCACTCATACAAGTAAATAAATAAATAATTAGGAATACGCGCACACACACACGTATACATATATAAGTACCTGACACATAAGATGAAATTCTCCTTTGTCAGGATGAATGCCAAAATCTCCTGATGCTTCTAGAGGAATGCTGCCAAACCAGCCACTTGCATTGTGTAAAAATATTCTTTGACCACGAAAACACAAACTTGCTGATATGTTCTGCAACAACAAGCACACAAAGTACAGAATACAGCAGGGGAAAACATCGCAACTTTAATTTCTAGAGCACCAACAAGAGCAATATTTAGTATGTTAGCATATCAATATGCTTACTTGATATGCAATCAAAGATACAGTAGTCATCAACATTATTATTTTACAGTTGTAACCCATTACCAGAAACAATAATTAGAAAAACAGATTAGACATCGGGGAGTTGTACCTAGCACTCACAGGTCTGAAAAATACAATCAATGTAAACTTGAAACAGAAAATTGATACCAAAACAAGTACCATGTATAAGCATTGGATAACACAACCAACAACTCAACAAAGATATACACCAACAAAGTACCAAGGAAGTGTGAACTAAGTACAACAACTGAGTACAAAATTTAGAACATCTTAGAGGAAGGAAAAGAAAACAAGAAATCTCTAAGTTCATATAAACCAAACAATTGAGAACTTAGGTTGAAGAACTAAAGCCTAGCCCAAGAGGACTCCCCACTATACGAACTCATTGCAGAAAGCCCCTCTACATCCTGAAAATCATTTTTAAATAAGAGTAAACACAATCTGGTTCATGAGAGATATATCTAGTACTTTTAGTCCCTTTAAGTTAGGTTATATACAAAAAAATCCCCAAATTTCTATAAGTATTAACAAGTTAGTCCTTAAGTCAATAGGTCTTTGTTGGAAACCATGTAAATAGTGTCTAAGCATATTACATAGAGCCATAGACTAACTAGAATCATGTAATTATGGTAATTAAGGTAACCATGATATCTGTATTTATTATCCTTTTGGCTATATAATCTAGATTCCGATCCATAGTTAGACAAACAGATATCAATACCTGCTTTTCTTTTTTTTCTCTCTCTCTCTCTCTCAACACGGTATTAGAACATAACAAGAGACAACCTAGTCCGTGCCTACTTGGGGGATCCAGTGCTCATCTGTGACCATATTCTTTTTCCAGAAACAGTGTTTCAACTTTGGTTTTCGATCCCCAATGCCATGTTTGGGCAAGGTTCATGGAGCGTTACATGATTTCAATGCTTTTGCCCCCAATTGTAACTCCAGCCCAAGAGCTTGAGCAGCGCAATACATTCTTCATGTTCTCGGCCTTTTAAGGTTTACCCTTAGGGTACTCTACCACTCGTAATCAAATTTGGGATCCCCTAATCTCCCAACTTTGAACACATCGTGGTTTACTTTGCTATGTGTTCTAGCCAAACCACTGCTCAATTTAGATATACCCTCTACCCTTACTTTAGTCCATTCATCTGCCTTCTTAGAGCGACAATCGTGGGCATTCACATAAATCTAGTCAATCTCGCCCCTAGTGTGATCACTGTCGCTGGTTAGGGTACACTATTTGACAAGTGTTGGACTCTACATGAACGTCCTCCATGCATAGCCAATGTTGCCCAACCAGATCCATCTAACACACCTAACATCATTGAACCATCCATAGGTCCCGTCACCACACCTGCTGCCTATGCCGATTTAAGTGGCTTGAGAAACGTTCGGCCTCAATATCTAGTACCTTTATTGCTCACACGGGAAATCTTTCATTGGTCTCTTTGAATCACCACCCCATGGTCCTTGGATTCTTCATGTTCTCGGCCTTTTAAGGTTTACCCTTAGGGTACTCTACCACTCGTAATCAAATTTGGGATCCCCTAATCTCCCAACTTTGAACACATCGTGGTTTACTTTGCTATGTGTTCTAGCCAAACCACTGCTCAATTTAGATATACCCTCTACCCTTACTTTAGTCCATTCATCTGCCTTCTTAGAGCGACAATCGTGGGCATTCACATAAATCTAGTCAATCTCGCCCCTAGTGTGATCACTGTCGCTGGTTAGGGTACACTATTTGACAAGTGTTGGACTCTACATGAACGTCCTCCATGCATAGCCAATGTTGCCCAACCAGATCCATCTAACACACCTAACATCATTGAACCATCCATAGGTCCCGTCACCACACCTGCTGCCTATGCCGATTTAAGTGGCTTGAGAAACGTTCGGCCTCAATATCTAGTACCTTTATTGCTCACACGGGAAATCTTTCATTGGTCTCTTTGAATCACCACCCCATGGTCCTTGGATTCTTTATTCTAGTGCCACTAATCATATCTCAGGTAATAAGTCATTTTTCTCCTCCCTTTCTACATGTAGTTATTTTCCAACAGCAAATAGTTCCAAAACATATTCCCATAGAGTTGGTGTAAAGAATCAATTCAACCTAAAAGCTTAAGCTGGTGGGTGAGGGCTTTTTAATAGTTTATACTATTGTCTAACATGCCCACTCACACGAAAGTCCACTGGGCTTGAAGGGTGGACAATGCACAAGCTCACCTACTTATACTAAGAAAATTTCACAAAAGAAAGTGGGGGGCGGTAAGGATCGAACCAAGGACACAAGGCTCTGATACCATGTAAAGAACCAATTCAACCCAAAAGCTTAAGCTAGTGGGTGAAGGCTTTTTAATAGTTTATACTATTCTCTAACAGTTGGTACTACCCATCCCATTGCCTCTCCCTTTGTTGATAATGTGTTTTATGTTCATAATTCTCCATTTAATTTACTTTTCATTAGATGCTTGACTTGTTCTCTTGACTATCTCATTTCCTTTACTAAAGATTCTATCATTTTGCATAACCTGAGTTTGGGGAGGACAATTAGCATCAGACGTGAGTTCAAGGGCCTTTACCAACATTCGAGCTCTTTCTATGTTTGTTCTGTCGTGGATTCTCCCCTCATTGTCCATGCTTAGCTAGGTCATCTTAGTCTTGCTAAGCTCAAAAGATTGGTGCCACATCTATCCAAACTGTCTGCTTTAAAGTGTGAGTCATATGTGTTAGGGAAACATACTCATAGTTTGTTTCCGATCAAGTTAGTCATCGAGCTATGTCTCTATTTGCTTTAATTCATTCTTGATTGTTTTCAATGGAAAATCAATCTAAGTTGTTTTCTAACTTTCAAAGGTTTTATAATGAAATTCTAACTCAATGTAGTGTCCCAATATGTACCTTGTACAGCGATAATATATGTGAATACATATTCTATTAGTTTCACACGTTTATGGCCACTCGTGCAATTCTACACCAAACGTCTTATGCTCATACCCCTCAGCAAAATGGGTTTGTTAATGCAAAAACTAATAACACCAAATTAAAATAGCCCAAACCCTCTTACTTCATAGGCATGTCCCTTTCCGATTTTCGAGTGATGTTATTCTCACTACTTACTACCTTATTAATTAGATGCCCTTGTTTGTCCTATCCTATGTTAATTCCCTATTAGTCTATGCACTCCCTAGCACCCATGTCTTTGGTTCTACATGTTTTGTTCATAATCTCAGTCCTGATCTAGATAAGCTATAAGCTCAATCCAATAAGTGTCTTTCTTGATTACACTCCGTCCTAAAAGGGTTATCGATGCTACTCTCCCAACTTCACCGATATTTTGTCTCAGCTTATGTTAGCTTTTGAGTCCGTTAGTTTGTTCCATTCCTTGGGTCCCATTCCTCCATTCTTGGGTTAACAGCTTTATCTCATCTTCCAATGTTAGTTATGTTCACCCCACTACTAGAGTTAACTACTGTTAATGATGACTTGGCTCTTGTTCGCACTTACAGGTATGTAAAGAACCATTTCAACCCAAAAGTTTAAGATGTTAGGTGAAGGTCACGTTAATGGCTTTATATTATATTTCTCTAACACGCCCCCTCATACAAGAGTCCATTGGGCTTGTAGGGTGGACAATGCACAAGCTTGCCTACTTGTGCAATGAACTCCATAATATTTAATTATTTATTAATAGAATGGGTGAGGATCAAACTCATGTCCACTTGGTCATAAAGGCTTTGATACCATATAAAGCAACAATTCAACCCAAAAGTTTAAACTGTCAAATGAAGGCCACATTAATGGTTTAATATTATATTTCTCTAACAAGGTATATCATCATGGGATGCATCCATCTAAACTGGTTATTGCTTCTGAGGTTGATGAGATCAACACAGACTCAACTCCAACACTTAGTTCTCCTACTCCAGCATTTGCTCCTGATGTGACCTTCCCATTTCACTCAAAAAGGTGTTTTTTTCTACTTATAATCCCTCCCCTCACTATGCTACTTGGACTTGTCATTGCCTATCTCCTTTGCATAGGCTTTATCCTATCCTCGGTGGCATCAAGCTATGGTTATGTGTGCACTTTAGAGCAGTGGAACTTAGGACCTAATTCCTCTTCCACATGAAAAGACAGTTGTAAGCTGTCAATGAATCTTCAAAATTAAGGTTGGCCCCAATGGTCAAGTTCATCATCTTAAGGCTCGTCTAGTGGCAAAAGGGTATACTCTTTGAATATTAAGTATATTTTTGGTGAACAATATTGAATACAATGCATATACAATGGTTCGGTTTCCTTTCAAAAGAATAACAAATATATTGAAAATGAAACTTCAAGTGTTAAAAAGGGATTGCACAAGGCATTGTAATACAGATGAAAGGAAGACATACAGAAAAACTAGATGGAGCATCTAATAGTTGGAAGTTCAACCCCTTCACGTCAAGTTGTCCATGAAGGTTTGGAAATGTTTCACCCTTTGACATGCACAAGTGAACCTAAACATAGGGAAACAATATATTAAAGAGGTGAAGTTATATTAATTCTCAAGAATAACTAGCAAGTATCAGCATTCCCAATATAATTATAACAGTCTGAAAGACATGATGTAACATCAGATCTATAAAGTTCCAAAACCTAAGCCAAAAAACATAGCACTTGTGTCTATGAAACAAAATATGAGAATAATATCGAATAATCCACAATGTAGTTGAATCTATGAAACATTTGGGAACAAGCTTCGATTTGACATATCCGAAAACATATGGGCATATGTCAAGTCAAAGAAGGTTGAAAGTGGACATAACACACAAGAAACTTTTAAGTTATAAAGATTAAAAAACTTGAAAGACATTATAACACAAAGAAAGTTATTTTAAATAACCAAACAACCAGAGTAGAGATCAGAGACACTAAAGCTTTAGTTGGTCTCATTGATGCCAAATCAACAATCACAATTTCAATCTAATGTCAAGGAACATATCTTCTAGGACCTAAGTAAACCAAAATATGTCAATGCAACTGTTGCAAAGTATCTCCTATATATGGAAAATATCTCCTTTTCAGGGGCTGTAAATTCCGTAAATAATTAGGATTTGATTTGTATTATTTTCCTTAATTTCCTAGTTTCCTAATATTAAAGATTGTGAATCAGGTATATATATCAGTCATGCTGAAGATTTCCTCATGCAATTCAGAAATTCATCTCTAAAACCAGCAATTTTTACTTTATTTTTGTTGTGACAGACAAAGAAGAAATCTATTGCTGAAGGAAAAAAAAAACAGCCAATTAGTGCCATTGTTCAGGTCACTTTGGTTCTTTAACTCAAAACTAATTCTTCCAGTTCAGAAGGTTTATAGCACCACAGAAAATTAGTGACAGGTACTATTTACCAAATAAACTGGAATTCCAAAATAATATTTCTCATAACTCAAACTAAACAATCTTACAATGCTTCCACATTGAATTCGAAAGTAACTGAACTTAGGTTAGAGAAACACCTCACCGCTGGCCCTCCCTTTAGACCATGTAATTGGAATTTCTAGGATCCTTTCAAACAGCTGCATAGAACTCAACCCAGACATAAAATTCATAAGCATTCCATACAACTTGAATGACAAAATAGGAAGATGAAAAAACATTGGAAATTCAAATTACTATATACCTTACCGGGACACAAAGGTTGTCAATTTTCAAATTAGCATGCCATTTTTGCTCAACAGTGTCAACAAAAACATTGGCAGACAACCAGCCACCATCTTTGGATATAACATCAGACCTCCAAGTCTTACAATTTCCACTCAGGTGTACATTTGTTTGGCTGTAGTGGTTACGAAACTTCACATGGCCATTGACATTGTCCATCTCCCTGAAAGTAAAACAAAAAGAAAACTATGCAGATCGTCATTTTTCAAAATAGGACTTCAGTTTCCAAGATAAAAGCAACTCTTGAATATTTACAACCACTATGACTTCATATCCCAGCCTCAAGCTTATACTCAATAATTAAGAAGATTCTAGTTAAAACAATTCATATATCAACATTTTATCTTGGGCTTAATAGCACTTTTGGTCCCTCAACTATTGCTTATGCATGATTTTGATCACTAGTGATTTTCGCTCGAATTTAACCACCTAATTTTTTTTAATTGCTTCAATCAAGTCCTTTCATCAATTTCTTTCTATCTAAAAACCCTCTGAGTATGGGATTTTTCATACTTCTAGCTATCTTCTAGTAACTGGGTTAACTTCTTATAAGTGTGGCTCATCAAATTTGTCCACTGTAAATCCACACTTTTTAGAAAACCAATTAATTGTCATACTAGTAAAGAACAGTGCAATTAGCATTAGCTAGTTAACTGTCATGCACTTTTAGAAGTGGACGTAACAGAACCTATATCTAAGCACCTACATAATATTAAAATCATGAGCTGGTTGACAGATGTGTTCATCATTTCACCATCAGAGTGATTAATAAATGATAAGAATAGCTCTTACCTAACTTCCCTGTCGCCATATGCAAGTAGCATCATGGTTGCACCTCTGAAATGAACAGAATCCAATGTTACAGGAAGAATCTTAGTCAGGACTTCAGACTGCTGAACATCTACCCCATCTACATGCTCTGCAACAATATCTTCAACTTTCAGACCTATGTCAGACTTCAACTTTTCAATGGGACCAGAAAGGAAGCAAGATATCAACTCCTCAATATTTCTAAATACCGAGGCTAAGCCAAATTTCATTATCAAGTGCTCAAATGGAAATTGAAAATATGTTGCCAACTGAGGTCTGGGCTTCACAGAAACCAAATCTTCAGGTACCAAACCTTTCTGGCCCCCAGTTGCATTATCATCAATTTGACTTTGTGCAACATGAGGTCCCAACTCCTCATTTTTCTCTGTACTAATATAAGCATTAGCAGGTTCCGCAACATCCTCACTAGATTGCAAATTTTCATGTTTACTCTCTCTTGTCTGTAAAGTCATATCACGGACAAACTTCAAATAATCTGAATGACCATTAACAATTTCATTTGCTGAAGGAGACCATATTCCCAGATCTCTGAATTGTGTTCCATTTTGGTTATCATCGGTTCTACTATCATCACCACCAACAACAGATTCTGCAATTTTGTCAACATCACTTTTCACCAAATGCATATCATGATTCATAGAACGAAAACATCCAGAAGGCGATGAAGGCTCCCCAAATTTCCCATGTGATTGATCGCGAAAGTATGTACGTGCTGCTAATGCACTACGTTCGAGAATTCTCTTTTTGACAACAATAACAGATGCACAGATATCACTCGTTTTAGCCTTCCTCTTAAATTTGTGTTCCCTATGCCCTTTTATGACTCTGGACCAAAATTTAAGTCCTGAACCAGGAAACTCCACTCCAAATGATTTCTCCAAATCTGCATGTTTCATATCATAATCAACACCTGTGTCCACACAATAATGTTCGTGCTTCCCCTCATTCATGCAGAAAAAGGAGTTGGTTTTTGTTTCCCCTATTGAATGAGTTGCAATGTCCTTTAAATCATCACCTTCAGACAGACCATAATTCGGCTCAGAAACAAAGTAACCAATCTCTGCAGCTTCCCTAGCTGCATCATCTCTTTCTATTGTCCACCGAGCCGCCGCATCCTCTCGCGCAAGCCTCCTTGTTCTAGTACGATCATCAATCCCTTCTTCAGTTGACAAGTGCCTCTGCATGCCACCGTCAGACGACGGTATCCCTAACCAACTATAGTCCTTCTTCTGCACAACCAACACACTCGGATGTGTCAAAACTGCATCAACCACAAACTTTCCGCTCCTCAGACTTGCAAGAGGATGAAGTCTCAGCTGAACAGTGGGAGCCTCAGCACAAGAAAACTCCTCTTTATGCGGCCCAAATGAACTTGATTCCAATGTTACACTCAAAGGCGAGATTCTCCTAACCTTGCCAAAGTGAAGGTCACGCTGAATGTACTCACTGATCGTTGAACAAACACAAGGCAAGAGGTTTGTTTCAACAAAATCCTTGGCTTTGTTCCTTCCAAACCAGACTAATAAGCATAGGCCAGAGATAACAGCAGTGTAAACAGAGGCCCTAATCAAAAGAAGCCCCTCTTTCCACAATGGGGTCAAAAAACTCATGATTGGAGAAAAGGGTGGGTCCTTAGTGCATTTGCATTTCAACCTCGACCCACTTGTGGAAACAAGGTGTCTCCTCCACAAGTTTACATTTTGACCACAAAACCTAAAAACCTGGCTTACCGGGTCACAGTGTTTAGCAGATACGGTACATCTTTTGCTTCTGGGTAATTGTCTAAGTCTTCTCTCGAAATGATTGATATTGCTGCCACCTTGCAAAGAGGCATGAAGCTTAATCCCGAAGAAAGAGGAGTTCATTGAGGGACCAAGAAGTTGTGGCTCTTCTTAGTCCCGAACAATTCACAAGTGCTCGTGCATTCAGAACCCAGGAATTTGGGAATGGAAGTAGACAAGAACCAATGCTGTTTCGTTTCGCGCATCGAATGAGTGTACAAAGAAAACAGTCAAATTGACATTGTATTTGTGTCTGTCTGTGTGACTTGTTTGGAGCAAGCGAGAAAGTGGAAAGTGCAAAGAGAGGAATAATGAGTTTTAATTTTAAGGGCTCCAAGTCCAACAAGACAAGACGTGGGAAGAAGAAACAAACAAAGAGGAATATTTCGTTGCTTGCCTTCACGGAAATGAAATGAAATGAAACGAAACGAAACGAAACGAAACGACGGGCTGCGTATAAACGCTGTCGTTTATAGCCATTTGTCCTTTCCAACAATTTAAGTTTGTGTCTTTTAAGTGAAATTAATTTCTTTTAGAGTTTTATAAGAGTTATGTTGTAAGAAAAGTGATTCTGTAATGTTATAGAGATTCGTTTTGCGTGCCATAGTTTTTTTTTCTTTTTTTGCTTTAAAAAGTATGAGCCCCGCAAAATGTTGTGTGTGTAAGAAAATTTTTCTGATCATGTTAAAGGACAAACTAAAACCCCTTTGTTTTAATGCATATTTAATAGTTTGTTTTATATATTTTCACAAAATTGGGATAAAAGAGAAAATGAGAGACCGAATATCGGAAAGAAGAGAGAAAAATAACATAAACTTATCTCAATTTTTTCCTTTTTAAAATTAAAAGGAAAAGTATATCTGCATAGGCTAAGCTATATATTTAGGGGAGAATATTCCAACAATCAATTACTACCAATCAATTTCACCATTAGATTAATTATGTTGATCTAACGATTATATTTATTTTTAATTTTATATGGTTACGATTCTCCATATTTAATACTTTATATTTATTTCTATCTTTGTATGCTTATGATTCTCCATATTTAATGTTTTCAGTTTTACATTAAATATGGGGAATCATAACCATACAAAGGTGAAAATAAATATAACCGTTGGATCAACATAATCGATCTAACAGTGAAATTGATTGGTAATAACATTAATAGTAGGGGCGAAACTAGGTCGGGCCGGCCTACAGGGGCCTACGGCTCGACCTACGTCAGACCAGACCTGACCTAGTATATTTCGTAAAATAGGCCGGGTTTTGACCTTGAAAAAGCCTATTTAATAAAAAGGCTGTAGGCCAACTTTCACAAGGTCTGGCCTATAAGCTTATAAGCCTACAAGTCGGCCTATATTGTACTATTTATTTTAAATAAAATAAAATAGAATAAGTATGCCTTGAAGAAAAAAAACAAAAGATATAAATTTAATCAATTGCAATTATTTATAACTTAATTATATTCGATTATATTTTAATAGAAATCTGACTTTATTTCTTATATAGGAGGAACCAACATCTCAAGATGTTAGATTGTGTATATGAATATGTTAAAAGGTTTTTGGGAGAGGTTATACTTACTACAAACATCATGATGCGTTTGTTGGATTCATGTAGTTATTTTAATTTACATAATATGGATTTGTTTGTTGGATCTGATGAAATATATGTTATTTAGTTTTAGCATTTTATTTTTGAAAATGACTTAAATGCAGATTGTATGAGTTTTGTTGTGATTCATGATTTTGTTTGTACGTTGAAATTATGATTTTTGGTTTAGCAATAGAATTTGAGTATTTTGTAAAGTTGATTCATGATTCTGCTTGGAAGTTAAAAATTAACAGGCTAACGGGCTAAGCCAGGCCATTTGTTTTTTTATAAACGGCCCAAGTCAGGCTAACAATTAGACTCGTAATAGACTTGGGTCAGGCCAAACTGAAATTTTTTGGCGTAGGCTTGGGCTTTTCGGGACAAAGCTTGGCCCAGCCCAGCCCACTTTCACCCATAATTAATAGTAACATTAATTGTTTGTTACCTCATATATTTAATAGAAAATAAAAAGTTCAACAATAACTTGAGTTTAAGACGTCATGTAAACTAAAGTACTCAATTTCATGTTATTAGCATTGTTGTTAAAATCTCAATTTATCATTATGATTTTACGTTTTTGCGATTTTTTTTTCATCAAGACGATTTTACTAATATTCCAAACGCTTTTACGTTTTTTTTACATTACAATTTTATGTTTTAAGATTTTTTAATCCACTTCCGATTTTACTTAAGATCTCGATTTTAATAACATTGGTTATTAGTCAAATTCAAATGGCTTAATATTTCATTTTATAAAGGACATGTGAAAAATTAAATAAATAGTTATTTTAATCATATGAAAATAAAGGGTTTAACATTTTTTCTTTTATTAAATTTTTTTTTGATACACTCACATGGAAGTGAATCGGTCCCTTTATAAAGATAAGAGAAAAAAAATTGTAGGACCCATTCAAAAATAAATTAAAGAAATATTTGTGATTAATTGATTATATAAAACATGACAGTGCATGTTTTATAACAGTTTTTTATTTATAAAATAATTATTTTTTAAAGTTGTTTGGAGAAACTATAAAAACTGATTTTTCGGAATGAGCTCTTTTTTCCCTCTTCATTATATATACTAAGGGAATAAACATCATTAGAAAGTTTGATGATGTGTCACTCCCTCCTTCAATTTCACCAATGTGTTCACACTTGAGAAAGTTTGAAAAGTTTCTTCTTTTGGAATTTTTTTTAATCAAAAATTAATATTAATTAGTGGAGAAAAAAGGGAATCCTTATCTTTGTGAGGTCAAGCTGGATTAAAGTTCCACTATTTTATACCTGGGTAATTGTTATGCGCATTTAATATTAAAATGTTTCTTTAAAGAAGTTCAGAGACTTTTCAAGTCCATTTTGGAAGTTGTGTATATATATCATGTGTTACTTGGTTCTTTCCTTTGGTTTTTCGCCTTTTGTAATTCTTCCCCTCCTTGTCCTGTTCTCTTTTGTTTTTTGTTGCATCTTCATCTACTCAATCTTTTTTGGTACCAAGTATGTACTCGAGGTATGATTCCATTAAGGATCTTAATCCGTCGAAGAAGGAGCGGAGGATTAAGGTGAGGGTGGTTAGGACTTGAAATGTTCCTAATTTTCAGCGAAAAGATTTTGACGACAATCTGGACATGGTTCTATTAGACGAGAAGGTAATACTTTGCGTTCTGGACATGTATCTCTTTTGTAGGGTGGAAGGATACATACTACTGTTAAAGGATCTTTGAATGTCCGTAAAAAAATTTGCGAAGGGGATGTCTATTTTATAATAAATTTTGGAGTTGGGTTGAATAGTGATAATTTCAGGCCAACTAGAGTTGGTTGTTTTCAAGAAATATCTTTAATCCATTGAGTGGTGCTTCTTAAATAGCACATTGAGTTTTTGTATAAATAGGAAAGTGTTGTTTCTTCTTTTTTGGCTTGCCTACATTTTTTTTCTTCATTCGTGTGTGTAGGGGTTGTTGTATTGTTATTATTTTTTGTTACTTTATAAACAAATGTTGTGAATTCGTTTTCATTTTTTGTATACTGATTCTCTTTTTTTCGTTTTCTAGGGTGGAAGGTTTGATGCTACTGTGAATGGTTATTTACGTACTCAGCGTCTTTCATGCTGTTCGAGGGAGATTTTGTTGGCTGCTGTTAATGGTTCGATTTATTTATGCTTGCAACAATTCAATAGGGTTTGTGTGTTACGTTATTGAGTTTGCGTGTTGTTATTAATTTTCTGATGACATCTTTTTGATCACATCTTGCTGATTACATCATTTTGTAGTGGCAAACAAATGTATTATTATCCTACTTCTTTTTTGAAATTCAAAATTTGAAATTGATATAGGTAGGAAAAAGGGTTTAACATCTTTTAGCATGAGATAACTGTATTAAATTTTCATCTATTATATACTTAAAAAGAGAACCAAAAAACTGATGTGTCAAGCTCTCATGTAGTTCCAGCTTCGTATTCACACTTGAATGTCAATTTAAAAAAAAAATTACATAATAAGTTTTTAATTAAATCAAAAATCGAAATTAAGAAATTAGTGGGAGACATCTAATTAATGATCCACTATCATTTTTACATTGGAACCTGTAAGGTTTTTAATTGTTGTAATGGAAGATAGAAGGTTCTTTACTAATGTTACTTGAAAATAGAAAACTCATCATTTGATATTTTCTTATAACCTCAAACCATTCATACGCTTAATGTTCTACCTCCTGTGTGTTCTCACTTGCTTGCCAATTTTAAAAATAAATAAATAACTAAAAATTAAGTTTTAAGTAAATTAAATTTCAAAATTAAAGTGTTAGTGGCAGACATCAAATTAATGACCCACTATCATTTCTATATTGGAATTGTAAGGTTTTTAATATTCTATTGAAAGATGGAAGGTGCATTACCAATGTTACTTGAAAATGAAAAACTCATCATTTCATGGAGAATATACACAACTTTCTATGCGTGTTTCCCACTACTTTTAGTATGAGAAATTGTTAAATATATTAATAATATTTGTTATTATGTCTATTGGGTTGGAAAATATTTAATATTTCAAAATTTGAATTTTTTAAATTTGAATTTTTAACTCGATAGGTGGGAAACGAATTCTGCATTAATGTTTCTGTATTGGAAAAAAATATATATAATAAAATTAAATTTAATATAAAATTATAGATTAAACAAAAAATCTATTTAAAATTATAAAAATATATTTATAGTTGATAAAAAATAATTTAAATTTAAAATTTAAACTTCATAGGTGGGAAAAAAAAGTTTAAAATTGGATGTTAAACAACTATATTAATATCTCACTACTTTCTGCATCGAAAATTGTTAAGCCTATGAATAATATTTTTTAAGCCTATTAATGATATTTATTATTATATAATTAAACTAATGAATGATCTTTTGATATTACCTTATTCAACTTCAACTGTGAAGTGTTTGATAGAATATTAAACGTATGAACTCAAATATTTTCCAACTCTTTATCTCTTATATATGTCACAAATACACAGACCACAAAGAGTCGATTGAAAGACAACTGTAAAAATTATAGATATATAGTAATCTAGATGTAACTATAAGAACAATTTTGTGTGGATAAGTATAAAAATATATTACATGCTGATATAAAATGCTGACATTTAAAGGTGACAAACTATGCTCGGCCCGGAGGGCGAGCCCACCAACTAATTTTTATAATTTCATCATTCTTCTTTTATAAATAAATTCCTAAATCTAATTTCAATTTTTGTAAAATTCAAAATACTAATGACACAAATCCTTGAAAAAAATAATTATTTACATAAAATGTTGATAGTTAAAGGTTGTAAACTGGGCTTGGCCCAAAGGGCCTGCCCGCCCCGTCCGCTAACACATTTTTATAATTAAATTAAAATTCCACTATTCTTTTTTTTATAACTAAATTGCTAATTCAAATTTCAATTTTTGTAAATACAAATTTAGAAAATTTCAAATAATAACGACACAAATCTTTGCAAAAAAATTATTTATTATTATTTTGTAAATCTAATTGTAATAAGTAAAAGTTCATCTCTGAGATAAAATTTAAAAACTTAGACGCAACTATAAGAGCCTTTTTTGTGGATAAATATAAAAAATCTATTCCATGTTAATAGTTAGAGGTGGCAAACTCCGGTCTGAGCCCACCAACACATTTTTATAATTAAATTAAAATTTCATCCTTCTTCTTTTATAATTAAATTCCTAAATTTGATTTTGATTTTTGTAAATACAAATACAAACGACACAAATTCTTGCAAAAAATAATTATTTATTATTATTTTTATTAATCTGATTGTAATAAATGAAAGTCCATCTCTGAGATAAAATTTAAAAACTTAAATGTGACTATAAGAACCTTTTTTTGTGAATAAATATAAAAATCTATTGCATGCTGATAGTTAGAGGTGGCAAATTGGGCTCGGCCCGGAGGGCCGGCCCACCAACACCTTTTTATAATTAAATTAAAATTCCATCCTTCTTCTTTTATAATAAAATTCTTAAATCTGAATAATAATAATAATAAGTAGAAGGTTCATTGATATTTGAAAACTGAATTATTGAGTAAATAACTATATTTGATTTGCATAATAATCAATCCCTCTGAATTGCCAAATTTTGTTTGTGGTTGATATTTACAAAGTTTTGTGTGGATGTTGTAGCCTTTTAAAGTTCAAAAATAGCAAGACAATTCTTTTTTATTTCAGATAATTCTCAATTCATAAGTTTTTTTTATTTTTTTATTTTTTGTTCCTTTTGTTTATACCTCTACCATTGATAGCAAGATGAAAGTGTTAGATTTTTCGGTGCGATGATTAACCAACGACGGTGGCAACGATTTTATTTTTTTTTCTCCGGGCATCGCACGGGTAATTTACTAGTTTTTTTGGAAACTTAACAAAAACATTGTATTTTTAAAAATTATCTTTTTAAAAATGAAAGAGAAAGTATATGGATTTTATTAGTGTTATGTAACATAATATAAGTGTTGTTTCCAACTCTCACATCAAAAAGGAGAGAGAAAGTGGAATGATAAAAGAGAAAGAAAAACATGTAGACCCCACCTCTTTAATGTGTGTGTAGAAAAGTGAAGTTATATTATGTTAAATTATAAACATAAAACCCAAAGTATATTACATAGATCAAGCAATACATTTTTTTAGTGCCATACTTGTTCCTCGAAATAACTGCCCATAAATCATTTTTCTTTGTCAAAAAAGGCCATTACGAACTTTCATGATAAAGGCGAAGATCTTTCATTCCCATTCCCCATTCACAATAACTTTTTTACATGATCCACACACAAAGTTGAAGGTTGAAATTTACCTTTTACGGAAATTTATTCATAATCCACACGTTCTGAATTAGGACGTAAAATTTTTCCTTGAAAACAAGCTTCACTGTTAAGTGCGGGTTTCAATTTTATTGTTTTTTAATTTACAATCAAAAGCTTATAATAAGAGCTTTCGAGAGAGAGGGAGAGAGTCCAAACATGCTGTTAAAAGCCTCATGAAAGATACTCCGAAAATCAAAGAAATCACTCGAGTTTAGTTTCGATGAATAATGTTATCCACGTACATAACACCTCACATTGTTTTTACTATTTAATTAAAACTAATCTCAACTTGTTTTCTATTTTTGACACCTTGGATGCGAAGTGATAGGTTCGTTTACATTGATGGTCACAACTGAGAGTATCTGTATACTTTAGATTACAGCGGTCTGCGTTGAACCCAAAACAACAACGGCCAAAAAAATGGGATCCATTTCACAAGGTTTACATTACCCCCTTCAAAGCAACATAACACTCCCTAGAATAAACTTCAACTTCTCAGCCAGAACTAATTGATCAGCCACAAGGACATAAGAACTACAATACACAACTATGTAGTTCAGGTAATTTTTAAGGCTAAAATTTTCTCTGACAAAATGGCGAGTCCAGAACAATTGAAAAACACTAATTTCCCAAAAAGCTAGATGAAAATTTCTCAGGTCCACTGGCAAAACGACTAGAGTCACCAGAGCCTTTAAGCCCACTCTGTTTATTCGGCATAATCATATGAACAAGAAATACAAATTCCCGTATTGATGTTAAGAAGCAGGATTCCTTTACCGCACAGGTTGCTGGTTATAATGGTTCTTCTCTTTTTTCTTTGCTGCAGCAAGCCTTGCGCTCCTTGCAGCAGCCTCTTGAGCAGCTGCTCTTGCAGCAGCATCCATTTCTTTACTAGATTTCTTCTTCTTTGTAGAAGCAACTTTCTTAAGACGCTCTTTCACATCAACAGTAGAGGTATCCTCCTCCACATTTTCTGTTCCCGAACTGTTGGGTTGATCCTGAGATTCTTTCACCTCTTTGGAAGCTTTATCCTTCTTTTTCTTCTTCTTAGCATTCTTGGACTCTGCAGCGATAGCTTCTTTCTTTTCTCCATCTCCATCAGCATCAACATGTTTCTTATCCTGAGGTGCACCTGCAAATGCAATTTCACAATAACTTGATTGAGCAAAGTTTCAATAACAACAAGCTGTCCTGTAGTGATTGCAGCTTGACATGCAGAGAAATTTTACTTCTCTCTGATATGATTTTTTTTTAAAAAAAAGCTTGAATAAAACAATTTGTAGTTAAATAGAAAAACTAATTAGTGCAAAAAGAACAAAATGAGGGTAAATCTCGAGCAAAAGCTGAAACATTTGCAAATCAAGAAAGGCTAATGAAGAAGAGAGGCATGCCACGGCCAATCAATAACCTAAGATCGAAAAACACATAATAAACTATAATCTTGAAAATAATGTTGCATACAGTTCTGCATAGTTACCTTGTGGCTCATCTTGACCATTACTTTCTTTCTGTGGAACTCCAAAATCAGCTAGAAGAGCTTCAAGCTCTGCAAGTTCCTTCTTCTTCCTTTCTTTTTTGGACAGCTGCCGTTCTGCCTCCTTTGGTGCCGCAGAAACTTCAGTATGCTTCTCAACCTCAGGTTCAGGTTTCACAGAGTACTCTGGTTCATGATCATGCTCTTCCTCAACATCATCATCCCCTTCATCTAAAATATCTTCTTCACTTTCACTATCCTGTAATCAGAGACCCTATCAATTATAAAGCATCAAATCTGGAACAGCATAAGATTTTTATCGCCATTTGAGCAATAATGAGACCAAGCAAACGTATAGATAAATCATTATATACTTGCGTTGCTGACATTGAGCTCATAAAAAAGATCGAGTGATTACATTCTAAAGTTTATTATAACTACTACTATTATTATTGTTATTATTCAAAGGATATCTAATTTGCCAATATATAAAACTATAATAAAACCAAATGGCACATAGAATGCTATCTATTCTTTCCAAAGATAAAGCACAACTATATCAAAACATTAACTCCGGGAAACACATCAAGCTCCCGGTTACCCACGAATAGGCGTAATCAAAGGGATAATCAAGCACCTTTTCACTCCTTTCTAGTGCATATAATGGCCATATCACATAAAATGAATTTTAATACATAGTGGCACTACCATAAAGGGAGCCTTGGCAAAAGGTTGGTGTTGTCGCCACGTGACCAAAAAGTCACAACTTTGAAGCGTGTAATCAGTCTCAAGATAAGGTTGCCTATTATAGACCCACACAATGAATTTGACCCTTCCCTATACCACGCGCATGCAACGGACATAAAACATAAAAATAAATTAAAAAATAAAAGATATTGACAGTACTAAAAAGGGGAGCCTTGTCACCATGTGACAAGGAAGTCACACCTTCAAATCATGTAATCAACCTCGGTACAAGACTGCCTAGTGCCTACTATAAGATTCACACTAGAGGTCTGACCCTTCCCTTTATCCCAACATAATGGACATCAACATCACCAAATTAATTGGGGTCGCAGATGAACCCAAATGAAAAGTACAAAAAATAACTTTTAATAGATATTGACATTTCTAAGAAGGGGAGCATTGTCTCCATGGGACAAGGAATTCACACGTTCAAATCATCTAATCAGCCTCAGGATAAGGCTGCTTACTATAGACCAACACAATAGGTCTGATTGTTCCGTGTACCTAATTATAGTGACTAGTGAGAGTACTCGAATCTTAGAAGTATGCAAGAAGCAGAAAATCCAACGTCGGATTTGCACTAGAAATATTTCAGTATGAATAAAGTGGATTCATAAGGAATCAATCAAAAATAAATAAATAAATAAGGAATGTTCTAACATTATCTTAAGTCTTAACCATTCCTGATTCACCATGTTACCCACACAGCATCCACAACTATATACCCGGATATCCTGTAATAATATATTACACATCTAACGAAGCACTTGAATTCAACAGAATCATATTATCCTTACATAAGCACGCAAAATCGACAAGAACAACGACGAAAAAACAAATAAAAAACAAATAATTAAATCCCCGCACCTCAAAATCTCCTTGATTCTCCTTACTGTGATTAGGCTCGGAAACGCTCCACACGGATTGAGGCGGTGCAGTGGTGGCGTAATAGTCATCATCGTCATCAACATCGGCCCAAGATTTAACATTCAATGGGGCCGGAGCCCAAAACACCTGAGATTCCGATTTCGTGGACTGACCCTGCGATTTGGAGGACTCCTTGCTCTTCCGCTCCTTATCGGTTTTCTTCTTCTTCTTCAGAGTATCAAGCGCCGCAAACACATTCGTGTTGTTCATCATCAATGAACCTTCCTCTCTCCTGCTTCCACCACCAACCATTTCCTCGCGAAAATTTCCACGCCCAAATTCTTAACGCTTAAAACTCGCTCGCGGTTTGTCAATTTTTCCAAATAAAAAAATAGTAACTTCAATCAAAAGATATGAACTTATCTCAGATGCACAAAAACAGGTGAATACCTAAAACGGTTCTTTGGCAATCAAAATACTATAACCAAATTTATTAATTAATCAGTGAAAACAAAAGCGGCGCTTTGAGATCTGGTATTGGGCGAAGACTATAAAACTTAAAATCAGCGAGAGAGACAAATCTAGATTAGTATTTGGAGGAAAATAGAGAACAATTTAAGGGCTGAATATGAGAGAGATGCGGATAACACAGGAGAGAAGCGAGTTCTTCCGAGCTAGGGTTATTAACAAAATGCATAAGATAACGCAAGTACAGGAGTAAGCCAATAACAGAGTTTTTATAGGGATTTATATTTTATTTTGTAATTTATTATTATTATTAGTGGATGATCCGTGCGATGCACGGAGAAAAAAAAATCGATCAAGTTTATTGAAAAATAAAATAAAATCGAAAAGTGATTGTATAGTATTATATTCTAAAAGATATGTTTATAAGAGGACACCCAAGCCATTAATCCTTTCACAATCAAAAACCAATGATGTATGTGTAATAAAAATTTGTATTTATACATACAAAAAGAGTTCTTATACTTCATTTTAGATTACTTTTTTTTTTTGGTGTGTGACATATATTAGATGACAATTTTAAGAAGATTTGAGATACCACATTTAATGTAGAATACAAGGTTATTGAATTCAAGGCTCAAACTCATCTCACAGTCAATCTAACCAGCATAGGCTCATTTGATATCAGAATTACTGACTAATCAAGTAAGGTTGGATCTAATAGTAACATACATCCTATATTATATGAGAAATAATACTCTCATGTCACATGAGATACTCCCATTTTCCTACACAAATTCGTTTTTCGTGCCAATTAATTTTTCTTTTCTTTTTTAATATAAAATATGGGACCCACATTTAACTTCTCTCTACTTTTTTTATCTCCTATAATCCTACAACATAAGAAAAGTTAAACCCATATTATATTGGAATACAGAAATAAAGGACAATAAGACTGTACCCATATAGCACACAAGTGAGAAATATAAAAACTTGGTGACAATCTCTCCTTATTGCGAAACAAGTGTTGCTAGTTGATTAAAAATGTTGCTGAGCTCATGAATAGTGGACTCAACATTCTGAAGAGCCTCAGCTCTATTTTGCATGTAAGTGTCTTGCAATGGAACTACCTGCTGTTGCTGTTGTTGCAGCAACGGTTGACTCTCTCCATCCACATCCTTCCTACAGATTTAAAGGCCAAGAAAAAATAAAATTGTATGAAATCATAGTTTGAGGTATAATTCAACCCAACCTGAAACAACCTTAAAATATTGGAGCATAATTTCATTATTAAATAGGAAAGGATCCACAAATCATGTCTTGTACCTAAAGCTCTTATTTTAGTCCCAAACTAGCAAATTTTTGCAGGGTGGAACTAACATTTCAACTCTCATCCCTTTTGTCGGGCCAAGCTAGCCCAACAAAAGCCTACATTTCTACAAGTATTTTTGGCTGGCTTGTTTGACCTGCCAATTTCTCCTAGCCAAGCCAAGTTTCACTAGTCCTACAGTTTTGTTGGGCCAGGTTAGGCTGACAAAACAAGCTATGAACTGATGAAATAATTAATTCACAAATTACTTGTGTACCCAAACAAGTAATTGAAGTCCACAAATTAAACTAAACAAATAAAATAATTAATTCAGTGAAGTAGAGGATGTGAACTTGTGCTTGTTTAAAATGAAAACAAGAGAGAGATAAAGACAAAGTAAGTGACTTGAAATTAATATTGGTACAATGGTTGTGAAAAAATGCTGCAAAATTGGGCTTTTTCACTATTTTGCCCCTCATTAATTATTTAATAATCATTTTGCCCCTTATTGCAAACTATCTACCAATATGCCCCTCTTTAATCGATTAAGCCAAAAATTTAATCGATTAAATGGTCAAATGAAGATTTAATCGATTAAATCTTCAACTTAATCGATTAAATCTTCCTCTTTACCAGAAGAACAACCTTATGCATGGGAGATTTAATCGACTAAATCTTCAAGTCAACGATTTTTTCCTATTTTGACCATTTAATTGATTAAATTTTTGGCTTAATCGATTAAAGAGGGACAGATTGGTAGATAGTTCTGAATAAGGGGCAAAATAGTTATTAAATAATTAATAATGGGCAAAAGGGTGAAAAAGCCGCAAAATTGAGTTATATTTCAATAACAGTTAAAGGAAAAGAAATAAAAGAAGGATATGTGACCACACTTTTACTCTTTTTAATAAATCAGGCTTGCTTAGAACCAACTCACCAGTCACCAGTTCCTTCGATCAAAAAAAAATATGCACTTAATAATCTAATCAAGCATAATACCATAGTTTACCAGCATTACAGAAAAATTAGCAAGAAAACAACAAACACATGCTTAAATACAAGCCTACAACTAACAAAAGAAGAAAGAAAGAAAAAAATAAATAAAAATAACGTACTTAGGAAACAACTGAGATGAAGATGGAGACCCACTAGCCCATGGGGGTGGTGCAGGGGCATTAGAAGTAGCAGCAGCCGACTTTGTTGCCAAAGGACGTTGACGGACCAAGGGATTTGCAGATTCCTTAGAGGTAGAGGACGAAAACAATTATCTTTTATTGTTGTGTACTTTCAGCGTACTTTCAAGTTCTTCATAAAAAAACAGAAGTATAACATCAGTGTCGGCAATGACTGCAAACAATATGTAAAGCACACCAATAAAATACAATACAATACCTCACTTCGCATGATGAGAACATCTTTAAACTCTTTCGTGGTGCTCATCAATCGGGTTTTTAGGTCATCCACAACCGTGGTTGAATGGCTAGTTGTGTCGGTAGAAGTGTTCTCACTCTCATTTGTAGAGTTGCAAAGTAACTGAAGATCCACAACAGCAGAGTTTAGAGCAGTAATATCTTGCTTAATAACACACGTAAGCTCTTGGATTTCCATGGTGGGGTCGTCAAAAACCGAAGTCCTTTTAGCCACTGCGAATCAAAACAAAATGAATTAATAAGACACAATCACCGACATAATGAATAGCGTATTATATGAATAGAATAGAATTGAATTGCTTACACTTGGCGAGCTTAGCGAGCTTCTGAGACGTTTGGTGAATCCCATAGCCAATCTTGGAAGCCCTCTTATTGAACTTTTAACTTTTAACAACATAATTTATAGTTTCACGAATACTATTAGACTACTAGTGCATTATCCGTGCGATGCACGGAAGAAAAAGATTAAAAAATTTGTCTACGATCGTTGATTAATCTCTAAAAGAAAGAACGTATCACTATTTGAATTCTCATGTTAAATGAGAATTATAAAACTCATACTTCACTACAAGAAAACGGGCAGATAACGGCGATGTCTTCACGTCGTTTGGAAAAACCGCCCTTAATCAATTAGTTAATGAACGGGTAAGTAACTTACATCACACACTATTCAACCTTTATGCTTTTCTCTCATTTCTCTCTCACCCTCCCTCTCTTCTCACCGAGCTGTTCATTTCACGTGCTCATCAAACAATCCAACATTCATTGAGGACTTAATGCTTCGAGTAGCATTTCAGCATTCATTTTCTTCGATAGAAGCATTTTTCATTGTGGACTTCGCAATGTATGGGGCGAGTAGCGCAACGATTATGGCTTGTGATGGAAGCATTTGAAGAAGAATGTATAGCAACTTCAATAGGGGAGAAATTGGGGATTAGGGATTGGAGATAGTTATGGGCCATGTTTTACTGCTTATTCCCTATTCCATTCCATTCCATTTACTGTTTCGTCTTTCTTAGGACTCGTTTATTTCAATTCCATTTATTCCTCTATCTAATTGTGAATAATTCGATTTTCATCCACACCCGAATCGAGATTCATTTGCTTTCTCCTCAAAGCTTGCAAGTATCGTCTTCTTTTCTCTTTTGAGTGCACTGTTTTTTTCTTTTTTTTTTTGCTTTTGATAATAATCTTCATCTTCAAGCAACAATGATATAAATATTATATAATGACACATGTAAACATTTGAATGTGTTGGCTAAGAGTCACAAACAATTGAATTAAGTCTAGAGAGCTAGATAACCCTTCAATCTGCAAATTTTTCTATCAAATTTGGTTCTAACTGCAGTAGGTAAGTTTCTCCCATTTTTTTTCTTCCATTCTTATGTTTTTTCCCCCTTTCTCTCTTTTATCATAACCTTCGAAACTTGAGTCATAAATGTTAGCAGAATGAGAATATGTACTCCTTAATTTTGTATTTCTACTTGAATTTCCAAGGGGGTAAAGTTTTACCTATTTCATTTAAAAGTGAGCTTTAGAGCTGAGTTGAACTTATAAACTTGCCATCCTCAAATAGATTTCCATTTTCCAACACATAGCTGTTCTGATTATTGTTTCTAACAGGGATGGGTTTGGATGAGAATGAAGCAGAGGTGTGCAATGGAAAGGAAGACGTTTGCCAAATGTGGACCTTATGCACGCATGCTTATTATGATTTATCACATGTCTCTCCAGTGGTATTTCTATTCCTTTTGAAAGAATGTTACTTTCATGGTATGATTTTTTCTCCTTGCAATGCTAATATTTGTTGATTGCAATGAGATATGATGATGAATGCTAACTGTTTACTGAAATAGTTTAGCTATCTTTTTCTGATAATGTATTTTTCTGATAAGTTATTGTCATTCACTCAAACAAACAGACATCAGTGTTTATTTTCCGGAAACTTATAGCTCACGTTTCTCTGTTTTCATTGTGAAAATTATATAATATTTATATCATGGCTGCCATTTGCCAAGATGCCAATGTTTAGATGCTCTATCTATTCCACTACTCTGCAATTTTTTTCAATTTTTTTGGGAAGTAGGTAGCAAACCATAAAAACATGGGTCATGTATTTTATAATATTTTTTTTTTGTTTTCGAGCATAACAGATTATATTCTTTTAATTCTTCTTTAAGGAGAGCTTGTGGGAGTGATGCCTTTCAAAAGGATCAACTTTTCTGAATTTTTACTGTTTTTGCTCTCATTGTCAAACATTTAAAGACAGTTTATTAACTATATACGGTTCTAACACAGGCAAAATGGTGTTATTATATACTTCTTGGGTTGGTTGATGTGGAGGTAAATTTTCTTGGTAAGTGGTTCACGATGGTAGAGACATAATATTATGTAAAGAAAGCATGCATTGGTGAAATTAACACATTTATATGCAGTCTGCTCAATTATGTTCTTGAATTATGGGAACACTTATTTTGGAAAATTC